TTATCTTGTGTCATGTTGAACTTATAACTCATCCGCCATACAGACCCGAACTTCCAAGCGAATTCTTTTTATTTCCGAAAAATAAACATAAGAGATTTACGATTTACCAAGCCGGGATCGGCGTTTGATACATTCCATTAATCTTTCTGAATTGCGGGTGCGCTGTTTTGCACAATGGCTCCAACAAATGTTTTACTAATTGAATACTCTTGGTTTTTAATTCGTAAAAAAATAACGTATCAATATTATATCTGATCATATCGATCCAGAAACTTCCAGTACGACCTAACTAAATAGAGACAGAGTTCCTCCTGTTTATAATTCGGCGCATTACACAACACGGTGCGGTGCTCAACGTTGGACCACCGCGCCTTTCCCTAGCTGAGCGAGTGTCTCAGCAGCTGACCGGTACTTCCTGTCGTCCACCTCAATCGATAATAGACCCTGCTGCCTGGCGACAGAGACACTTTGCGAATGGCACGGGGCGGACACGTAGCCTTCGCCAATGGCCCAGTTGGTGATTGATGGCCGCGATAAAACGGGTATCCGATTCGCCCGAGTCAGTCTTGTCCACAGAGTACTTTAGTATATACTGGTCTTGTCCAATGGGACACACGTTCCACGCGGGAGGCTCATTTTCATACTCCGTTTGCTGTCAATGTATCCCCAGGTTTACAGTTTGCTGTAATTATCGTAATAGTTAACTACCCATATGTATATAATAATCATTGAGTTAAAGGTGGTAAAGTTATATTTTACTTTTATTACCTTTAACGCATTGATTATTGACTTACTGCCCAACACGGAACGTATGTATATAATACCCATATGTATATAACACTACCCATATGTTTATAATAATCATTGAGTTAAAGGTGGTAAAGTTATATTTTACTTTTATTACCTTTAACGCATTGATTATTGACTTACTGCCCAACACTGAACGTGTTGAATGATTTTATTTATTTATTTATTTATTAACAAAACCTTACACTATTATTACAGGTACTTAACCTTAACCACCACGTCATACCACCAAATGATAAAATAATAATTATCAATAGATGGCATGATCATAATATGTATAATCTTAATAAGAAATTTTAAACGAAACTTTAAAACCTTGTGGTCACAGTTTGGAAGAAGCTCTAGGAAGAAAACATTTACGTCCATCATTATAAGATTAGACAGAAACAACATCTCTAAACCTAAAGACGCATACACATCAGCTTAAAAGCGGCTAGTGTGGTCTACAACTAATAATAATAATATAAAAACATTTACTTTTTTTATCTTTGATTACACATTACTAAATGAAACTATGTTTACGGATTTATCGCGTACATTTTAGTTCCAATTTCCCAACGTCTCGCTGTAGAGGATTCGAAACACCGGACATTAAAAACTTAAATAAACGCGATAAATCCTTAAATATAGTTTAATTTTTGTACCTGTCTATTTTTAGTCAATAGCAGCAAACATAAGCATGGCATTTGAAAGCATCATGGAAGTTAGTTAAAAATATTATACAGAGACTGGGAAAATCCTGGGATAAAATGTCATGTCAATGGCGTATCGGACGCCGAATGAAGGAGATTTGCACAGTTCATGTTTGCCGCGTAAACACGGGCGGATAAATAATTCATTAAAACGTCCGCGCCTACGGTACATCGGCACAGTTTCCGATGCTTGTTCTCGATTCATATCGTACCTCACATTTGGCAAATTGAAGCTGATACTCGTAATAATAAAAATTATGAAATGCTCTGTGATATTGAGGTGGAAACAATACAATTAATATATATTATGCCAATGCCAACAGAGTACGGCAAACAGGTCGTTTAGGAAATAAAATTTTACCTCATTGTGTCCCTGATATCCAAATTTAGTTGCATCGTCCCTTTCCTTGCAGCTTATGTCAAATTGATCTTTCAAAAGGTCAGGGCAAAGGTGAGTTTCTTTCCGCTCTGGGAATGTCGTGTATTGGTCATATGCCAAAGTTAATGTATCATTAAATCACACCATTACCGGATTCGGAGGCCGTAATTTCGACAATGCTTACTCGTTCTGAAGTAAACCGTGGTGTGTCGGCAACGTAGTGGAGAAAATGCAAATAAATGGCTTACTTTTACTGGTGCCCGAACTAGCTTCTTTCAATAAATTCGTAAATTTATTAAAAGAGTCTCAGCGAAGCTCACAAACCATCTTCTTTCGCATTTTATTAAAATTCGTTCCGACTTTTCGCCGTGAACATAAAGAAACAAAATTGGCCACAAACTAACCTGTCAGTTCACAAAGAAAAGAGAAACAGTGCAAAATCTTTTCAAATAACTATCTAAAATTTGTTGGACCCAGAACGAAATGTAGCTTACAGTAAAAAGACGAATTTCGCCGTACTTATAGTTTGTAGACACTTAAACTAAAAGACTTTTCTACGATGCATTAATTATTCTTATTTTTTATAAATCAGCAGTTTTATCACAGTAGCAGGGGTCCCTCCAGGGCTGTCCAATTAGAAACAGATCATAAAATTTCTTTCAAGATATCGTTATTTTCTTTTCAGAAGTTTAGAACAATCTAACTACGAAGTTAACTATAATCTTTAAGTTGAAAAGTAGTCAGATTGTATTATATTTCTATAGAGTGAACAATATTTACCCGTTTAGGGAATTACTTTCTATTAACTAATGACGAAATCATTATACCGCTGAGTTGAAAGAATGGTTACGTGTTTTTTGTACTGCCTTTTCCTTTTTATATTAGGAGTAAATGTTTTGATAAAGTCATTTAATTATGTAACGTCTGTGTGAATGTGTGTTATATTTTTATCGGAGAACATATAATTTTTAATAGCGTTATTAATTTAAAAGAATTTGGTAAAATTAAAAGGTTCTATAACGATTAAACCTTTTAATGTCACCAACTTCCTTTTTTTTCTTTCAAGGATTAATAGTAATTAATGACTAGGTTTAGTAATGATTGTGAATAGCATAAGTTTAAGAACGGTATTATTAGTCAACAGCCTGCGTGTCAATTTAGCCTAAAATTCTCGCAGAATCTCCTTGCCTCATATGTTGAACAAATACATACCGTCTTATTTACTTTCGCGCGAATTATACTGGTCTTTATGACAAATAAATGAAAAACAAACGAAAGAAAAACAAATTACGATAATAAACTATAAAGCAATATATTTCAACCTAAATATTGTAAACGTCTCCAAAATATTCCATCCAAAAATCCTCAAACGTAAATAAAATAATTAAATCAAGAAAGGTGCCTATGTAAGCAAGGGCGACTGCCCAACTACTTGAATGTTAAAAGATTCAACATTGCAAAACTTAGCGAGGCGGCAGCTAGTACAAACATTTGGCCGGACATGTCGGTGGCGTATCTTGGTCCGTTTCTCAACGCAGTTAACCCAAAAATAAACAGACTTTAGTCAAGGCCTCTCGCGAAACTCGACCTGCGATGGGTGTTGCGGTGTTTTTGAAAGTTTTTATTTCCGTAATATTATAAAATTACACCCAATTTACATTAAATGTATACACCTGTATCAACATTAATTTACATTTTATTTCCCTCTTTTAGATACTGCTAGTTTTTGTTTTTTTGTTAGTTATACATAATTTTCTAATGATTAGTTTTGCACATAACGCAGTCTAATACAATGTATTTCACTTTGTTTATGATAATGTTAGTTTTTTTGCGAAGACCGCTCAAGAACTTTAGTAGCTTATTTCTCCTGCCCTGATCGTATGTAGGTGAGGTCGGCACACACATGTCCATACTGCGCGGCGTTTAGAATTTATGAAAGTTACGAAGCTATGTAACTAACGGCCGTTCGTTGAATATTATATACATCTTTATATATATAATAATTTTGTAGGTACGTGTCTATGTCACTGAACTCTTTATAAACGGCTGGACCGATTTTAATTAAATTTTGTGTCTTCGGGTAGATTCGAGAATGATTTAGATTCACAAAGTTATTCAAAAAAGTTTGATATTTTTGATTTTAGACGTATGTACAGGACAAAGTCTATCAAGCCCACTAGTTTATAAATAAAAGTAAAGTAACAGTCTATATATGTCCCAGTGGGCAAAGGCCTCGTCTGTACACGGGGTTATAAGGGTATAGTCCAGCACGCGGCCTCAATGCGGATTGGCGGACTTTACATATCTTCGAAACATTTTTTGTCATTCGCTTTATAGCATTTATTTTATTAATTTCAATCTCATTGTTTATTAATAAGTAGTAAGTGTAAATTTAAGTTTGAAAATGGTTCCGATTACTTGTTACATCAGGTTCTTAAACTCACGTACGAGGAGAAGTAACTTGTATGGTTTGTTTAATTTGTGTTTAAAAATCTTAGCGATGAAGTTAATACAAATAAAACAAATTAGGAACCAGCAGGACGCCAAGACGAACAATTATTTTTATTCCATAATCAAAACATTTGTGATTAGCTCATCAATCACCAACAGAACAATCAGGTAAGTCATTTTGTTTAGCTTTATAATACAAGAAAGTCACATTTTCCATGCAATGCTGACGTTTTTTATAAATAACTCGCCAGTCATTATTTTAAATGAGCGAACGGCCGTAAGCCGTATCCTTATATTATCCGTAGCCATACCACGATTATTTTAACTTATTAAGGTCGTTAAAACGTGAAAAGGAAGCACTTACGCCCGGTTTCTGAAACACTGATCATCATAGAAGTCAACTAATCAGCTGTCAAATGGCTCTTCAAATGTTATTTGAGTTGCCAAAAGGAACGTTAAACTCTCAATTCATCAGAATGATCCTCTTAATGATCAGAATGATCAAATGATCAAAGAGTTTAACAATCATTTTGGCAACTCAAATAACATTTGAAAAGCTATTTGACAGCTGATTAGTTAACTTCTACGTGATCATTGTTTCAGAAACCGGGCGTTTGTGTCTGTGGACCCGACAAGGGCAATTCTTCGTAATTCAATCGCCAGCGACAGAGATGCGGGCTTCACTGACTGGTTATAGAGCGCCTTCACCACAAGCGCTATCAGTTACAAGGGTCAATGATGGACCGGTTCTCGTGAACACTAAGGTCAATCGGTGTCGAGTTCCCAGGCCTACCACGGCGTGACTCTATCGAGGTCATCGATCATAGGCACGGTCAGAAAGATCGTATGAGAACAAGTGATATAACGCGTATAAGTCAAGCAGTTTATGAAAATTTATATACATACTTAAAAATATACCCACATTGTTAAAGCGTTGTTTAGCCTTTCATTGTTAAATATGCACTACAAAAATAGTTATATATACGGATTTTCATAACCATTTAATATTAATAATGAACATTTCTGCGCGCCTATTGTAATGCAGTAGGAACATTTAATATAATTATTGTATGCAAGTTAAAGTTCTAAAAAGTCTGTTCAAATGAACGTATACGTTCATTTGAACAGACTTTTTAGATCCAATGCTATAAGTAACAGTGGAGAACAAGGTGATGCTGCTACGAAGGAACAAGTTTGAAGGCGCCGGATGTCAATATAACTTCTCACAAGTTGTTACGCTAAAATCAGATTCGTTTACCCATCGTCTTTTAGGACCGTTTTCAATATTCTATCCATCTATACATTTGGTGACTAGCGATAGGTATTTGAGATGAGTTCGATATTACTTACGTCAAAATTTAATCTCTGATAACTAAATCTACAGAGAGGTTATTGAAAACAGCCATTAGTCTATAGATCAACGCCTTAGCTCAGAATCATCCCGGACAAAAGAATTGTCTTGTATGAACAAGTACACACTAATTTTAAACAAGATTATATCATACACCAAAGATTTAAAATTTTTTCACTATCTTACTCCGTCATCTCTATTTACCCTTCTATTACATGGCAAAGCTTGGATCACTTAAAACACAGGATGATGAAATAAAGTTCTCTCAACGCGTAACGCTAATCGCTTAAGTCAAGAGTTAAGAAATATTAAGAAACCCCAAAGAATAACGTTCAAACGTTCACACGAGTTCAGCGAATTTGAAAGTTGCGAGTCTCATGGCTTTTACTTCGTTTTTGGTAAATTGCAAAAGTATGATAACTTTTTTTTAGAAACATAAATAATGGAAACCGGTTGTGAAACGTTACACGGTTCAAAACATTAAAAATTTTGGAACCAAGAGGGAGATGAACGATAAGTCTTTTGGAATAATTTATAGTGAGAAGGAGAACTTGCAAGCCCTCGGCAATTAAAGAAATGATATTTATTTTATTATTCGTAAGCAATAATAAATTAAACACCTGGAACTATGTAAACTTCGGAGGAACAATTCGTTTTTTTTTTTTCGTTTTCTCCATAGCCTTCAAAATCCTTTTTTATTTCTATTCGCTTAGCAAAATTAGAAAGTAATAAAGAATGGTTAAGAAAACTGTCTTTTTCAACTTTCTCGTGTCCTTATCCCACTTGGGTGGCACAAGATGTGCATCATATTTTCAATGGAAGATTTTTTACGAGCAGCCGCCTGCCTGACGTCAACCCTCCTCTCTGGGAACAAACCCTCTTTGGGAACAAACTCCAGATCCTGACCAATTATTTATCGGTGTCATACTTACCCCGTGTGGGAACGAACCCAAGCCTCCGACGGGGAAGACGACAACTTTGCAACAGCGCCACTGAATCGCCAAAAATGGTTGTATTTTAGAATTAAGAATATTGTTGGAGCTTTATAATTGTGGCAAATTTTTGTCACTGTTTCAAGTTCAAATACGTGTTCGCTTTGCAAAAGCGCTTCATTGTCCCCTCGTCGGACACGCTTATTATGCTGCTTTTTGTTTGAAACCATCTCCATTTGCAACGGCTGGCGCGTCTCATTATGCGATTTGTTACGCGACCCATTCCTCGGTCTTTGTTGACTGATAACAATGAATTATCCCAATTGAGTATTGAATAATTACCTAAGCGATTATACGAAGCATGTTCCTAAGTACACGCGATTTAAAGCCACAAATTCTTTTAATGCCTAACGGAATACGTCAAATTAATCTTTTTTCGGCAATAAGTTACGATGATTATTTTATGCATATGTAGAGTTTGCAAGCGAGTATGCGGTCACGGACATAGATAACACCTCGAGGGCTGCCAATTTGTCACCAACAGTTAAAAAGTCGGAGCCGGTGTCTACTTAACACTACACGAAACTTGAAAGTATAATACTTCAACTGGACCACGCAATAGTGTTCGCTGTTACACGAACAGGCAGTTCCGTCTGAACCGCCAGCTCGTTTGCCACTTTCTCAGGTAAAAAAAACACGCAGATGTACTGTGAGACTGCCTAACCTTACAAAATCTGCTGCCTTTCTCCCGTCTCAATGAACGAGAGAGCAATTTTTAGTGCCGAAATTCTTATCATGAAGAGGGGCGTTTTGGAAATTTGCTACGTGACGTACATCCCAGCCGTGATAGCCCAGTGTCCGGGCGCTCGCCTTTAATTCAATATACTCGAGCAACCTGAGTTCGATCCCCGGTGCCGGCACCAATGAAGTTTTTAACTTTAAGTGCTGACTTATCACGTGCTCCGCGGTGAAGGAAAACATCGTGAGGAAACCTGCATATTTTCGAAATAATAACAAAAAAAAATATATTTCGAAGATATGTGAAGTCCGCCAATCCGCAGTGGGGCCGCGTGGCCTTTGTCCAGCAGGCCTTTGCCCAGCAGTGGGACATGTATAGGCTGTTACTTTACTTTACTTTTACGTACATTGTACTTCTTGTACACATATATATGTCGAATTACACTATGCTCATCAAGCAGTATTTAGTATTATAGCGAATATAGATTATGAACGTAAATTTTAATAAAAAATAATAAACGTTAACATCGCTAAAACTATTATGGAAGAATGGTTAAATGTAAAAAATAAAATAATACATACTTAAAAACGGATTTATATTAAAATAACTTACATACTGGACATAATGGAAAGATAAATGGAATGGTTTCTAAAAATATTAACGCACCATATGATTCATTAACGCGGTATGACACTTATCGCGATTATCTGAAACTACTAACGGTATTAAGGCCAAGGTTATTGACCTGCCCGTTAACGCGCAAGATTAAGTCGTCCCGTCCAATAGATGTCGCTGCACCATTTAAAATCGGACTATCGTTTGACTGTCCCGAGCAGTACTACATGCGTGCTCGTATAATCACTCGTTGCCATCAGGAGGGTCTTAACTGACTCGACTGAACAGCGAGTGATGAATTCGGGATATGAATCTTTGTGATTCCATTCCACTCGTTTGTAGATCAACTATCGCAGATCTACAAATTGAAGAACTGACGCTGTTTTTGGCCTTAATTGAAATGACATCTTCAGATCATAATTATTTATCCAATCTATTCATAAATGTATAAGAGTCTAATTCTACAAACTCTGCATGTACATTATTTACATTAAATCTATAACTAAATTGTTGATTATAACACTAATAATAATAAACTAATAATGACTAAAAAGAAAAGGTATTAAAGAACGCTTCCGATTTCCGAACAACTATTTAGCTTATTTTAATTTAGAATTTGATTACTTGATTGATTGATTCGGCAAAGGGTAATAATATATGTAAAATAGGAGGACACTGGGGAAACATAAACATTTATTATTAAATATTAAAAGTTGTTATTAAAAGTTATGTGTACATTAACACTTAAGTGTAATGTTTCTTCCATATTGCGATGTTAATTATCGCTTGTGAATGTTTATTCGCCGCAATAATCACTTTCTATTCAGTTTACAACTTGTTCGCTTCCCAACAACTTCTATCTAAAAAAGAAATACAGTCATACAGTCTCATGGGGACTGCCGACACAAGTGATAAAATAGTATGAAAATTAAAAATGTATAATATTTAATTCTACCAGTATATATGTCATATCCATAACTTCAATTTTTTTTGCATATCCCTTTTTTACAAATAGGTCAAGGAAAGTGTTCGTTGACGATAAAGCGGGTTTCACGGCTTTTGTCCACCCAAAAAGTACACATAATTATATAAAAAGCACACATATAGGTCATGGAAAGCGTTCGGAGACGTTGACACGAGTTTCATGATTTTTGATCACACACAAAGTGCTCGACGCGAAATTACAAAACGCACTTTCTTTTGACTCGCATTAACGTTAACATATAACGTAATAAATAGTATGCAGATCAACGGCACTAATTTCGAACGTGGTCATGTCCGCAGATACGTCGCAGCGTGCGAGCGTGCGCGCACCGGCGTCGCAACATGGGCCAGGAACAGTCCCATGTCGCGCACGGCGGAGTAGCACAAGCGAGGCGGCAAAGGGACGACGAGGAGACGGCGCAGCGGAGGTCCGGCCCGGCGGAGGGCGAGGGTGACCTGAGGCGCCACAGAGCGCGCCGCAGCGGCGAGAGCTTCAAGAGCGACCACTCGACCGAGAGCGGCGGATACCGCAGCGGATCTAGCGGCTACCGGAGCGGATCCAGCAGCTACCGCAGCGGATCCGGCGGATTCCAGTCGGACGATTACCACTGCGCCGCGTTGTATAAGAACGACCACTACCGCGATACGAGCAGGGAGTTGTACAGGCCGGTGAAGATCGCGAAGGAGCGACGCCACAAGGTGCTGTTCGGCGAAGGGGAGGAGTCGAGTCGCTTGGCCAGCTATCTCAGTGACGAGGGCAAAGCCAAGCCGAAGGGCGCAGCGCCAACGGCAAAGAGGACGGGGATAAGGAACTACACGCCGAAGATACTGTCAGACGGCGAGCCGAAGAGGATAGAGAGTTGGATTTAGGCGTGGCGGTGGCAGTAGGATTAGCTGTACATATTAGTTAGGACGGTAGATGTTCTGTGGGGGGGAGGATGGAGGCGGCTGGTGCGCTCGCGAGCCTCGCGCCGTCCCCCATCACGGTGCTGGGGCTGATACCACTCCTGGCGCTAGGGATCACGTACTTCAGATACCAGCAATACGACCCGGAGTCCTATGTTACGGACGTCAATGCTGTGAGTATAGCAATCAATGTATTTAATAAACGTCTGTTATTATCATTTTCTGAGGTTAGTCGGCATCTCTTGTCTTGAAATTAAATTATAAATCAGAAATTTTACACTCGATTATAAATTGCTTTTCCGCGTATATAAAGAACATGCCCGACTAGCTATTAATCCGCTCCAGATAAAAATAATCGTCTTACTTTAGTACATATTACATATGTAGTGTATTTAGTATATATATAGTGTAAATATTTTATGTATATTCGAGTATCGATACATTTACAGATATCATTGGGTATAGAAACAACTTTCGCAAAGATAATTTTGCTGGATATAATACGATAATTGTTCTGGATCGTTTATTCTTCATGTTATTCGGTTAAATAAATAGTCATTTAAATAAAAAAGGCCTTTCACAAAAGTGTGTGGCATAAAACACCTTAACAATCACTTAAAACGAAATAGTTTTGATTAAGTTAATGCAAAAGTAAAACTAATGCCAAAATAATAATGCTCTATTATATGACGTGATGAGCTATACTTAAATAAAGGCTTACAGCGAAAGCGTACCAGTTTGTTCGATCGCGTGGACTGCATCAGCCACCGCGCAATTTTAATAAATATGAATAATTAAAACATGTAGAAAACGTACGAAAAGATTTTCGCCGCTGTGGGAATCGAACCCACGTTTTCGGCATTCGCAGTCTGACGCTCTAGTCACTGAGCTAAACGACTGATAGCCACAGCGACGAAAATCTTAACGCCTTCTTTCTACATTGTTATTTAGCATTTGAAGCAATGCTTGGCGCATCTATTGTTATATCCTTTCGTCAACTGTTCAATCTTAAGTGCAGAGATTAGCACTATAAAAAACTTATTTTTTTTTTTAAATATGAATAATATAATAATCAGACATTACAGCCCGGGATGAGCTTTATGTATGAATAAAAGATCACTCGTTCGTTCCAGATAATGCCAATATACGACTTCGTGGTGGTGGGCGGCGGGTCGGCGGGCGCGGTGGTCGCGTCGCGTCTCTCCGAGATTGCCAACTGGACGGTGCTGCTACTTGAGGCGGGGCAGGACGAGTCCGAGATATCGGACATACCGGCGCTGGCTGGATACACGCAGCTCTCCGAGATGGACTGGAAGTACCAGACGACGCCGTCCGCCAACCGCTCGTACTGCCTCGCGATGAACGGCGACCGGTGCAACTGGCCCCGCGGCAAGGTGCTCGGCGGGTGCAGCGTGCTCAACGCGATGGTCTACGTGCGCGGCAACCGCAACGACTACGACCTGTGGGAGGCGCTCGGCAACCCTGGCTGGTCCTATGACCAGGTGCTGCCCTACTTCCTCAAGTCCGAGGACAACAGGAACCCGTACCTCGCCGAGACGGCGTACCACTCGACCGGCGGCTATCTGACCGTGCAGGAGGCGCCGTGGCGGACGCCGCTCTCGGTCACCTTCCTCAAGGGCGGCATGGAGCTCGGATACGAGTTCCGCGACATAAACGGCGCCAAGCAGACCGGGTTCATGCTGACGCAGGCGACCATGAGGCGCGGCAGCCGATGCAGCACGGCCAAGGCGTTCCTCAGGCCGGTGCGCCAGCGGAGCAACCTGCACATCGCTCTCGGCGCTCAAGTGACACGCATCCTGATCAACCCCGCCAAGAAGCAGGCGTACGGCGTCGAGTTCGTGCGCAACGGCGAGCGGCACAAGGTGCGCATCAAGAGGGAGGTGGTAATGTCGGCCGGCGCGCTCTCCACGCCCCAGCTGATGATGCTCAGCGGCATAGGGCCCGCGGAGCATCTCCGCGAACACGGGATCCCTCTAATAGCGAACCTCAAGGTGGGCCACAACCTGCAGGACCACGTGGGCCTCGGCGGGCTTACATTCGTGGTCAACAAACCGGTCACCTTCAAGAAGGAGCGCTTCCAGACGTTCTCGGTGGCGATGAACTACATACTGTACGAGAAGGGCCCGATGACGACGCAGGGCATCGAGGGCCTAGCGTTCGTGAACACTAAGTACGCGCCGCCGTCGGGCAACTGGCCCGACATACAGTTCCACTTCGCCCCGAGCTCGGTCAACTCGGACGGAGGCGAGCAGATTCGAAAGATACTAAACCTGCGCGACAGGGTGTACAACACGGTGTACAAGCCGATCGAGAGCGCCGAGACGTGGACGATACTGCCGCTGCTGCTGCGCCCGAAGAGCTCCGGCTGGGTGAAGCTGCGCAGCCGGAACCCCTTCCAGGCGCCCTCGATAGAGCCCAACTACTTCGCGTACAAGGAGGACATACAGGTGCTCACGGAGGGCATACGGATCGCGTTCGCGCTCTCCAACACGACCGCCTTCCAGCGGTACGGCTCGAGGCCGCACAATATACCGCTGCCGGGCTGCGCGCACCTCACCCTGTTCAGCGACGAGTACTGGGAGTGCAGCCTGAAGCACTTCACCTTCACGATCTACCACCCGACGGGCACCTGCAAGATGGGCCCGAAGCACGACCAGAGCGCGGTCGTCGACCCCCGGCTGAGGGTCCACGGTGTTGCCAACCTGCGCGTGGTCGACGCGAGCGTGATGCCGACCATAATAAGCGGCAACCCCAACGCGCCAGTCATCATGATCGCCGAGAAGGCGTCCGACATGATCAAGGAGGACTGGCTCGTGTTGTGACCGCGACTAGTTCGCCCGATCCGAACTGTTTATCACAATGTACTTGTAAGTTGTTCGCTCGTAAACAAATTTGATTAAGTATGAATGTAAATAAATGGTTATGTAGTGTGGTTTTTATTTAATTTTAATAATGTTAAATGAAAACCCTCGTTTCTTAGTACGTACTTAAGCTCAACTCAACTTGTGAACGTATAGTATGTGAAGTCATTTAGTAAGCGTAACTAGTATCTAGAATAAATAGGTGTTCGCTAGTGATGAAATTAGTATTTTATAACTTTTTTACCCCTGAACATTGATAATATTGTACAAAACACGTGAGAATATAATTCTTATTTTGCTACCTTTGGTTTTATTTCTATATGACATTATTGTGTTCGTTATTTTAGTACAATTATTTTTCGATTCAATTCCCATATAAAAACAGATAATATTTTTAATGATTTGACTTTCATTACTATAGTAACCAGAGTTTCATAAAGCCTATTGTATTTCAGTCCTATATACTTCATAAATATAAAACAGAGACATCTATGAGTTGAATTATACCTTAAAACTCACAATGTGTGTCACTGATAACAACAAAAAATTTAATCTTGACAGCGCCATCTACTCCTACAATACATAATCTAGACCATTAAAGAAAATCTACAGAACACTTTCAGCATATAACACCAGATGGCGGTCATTCGAAACGGTTTAAATTTAAAATCAAATATTTGTTTAATAAATGTTTTTAAGTTTTTTTTTTTTCATTTGTGATTATTGTCCTTTTTCTTTTGCAAATTTTAAGCATTTTGTTAAAACTACTTTAATGGAAAGGGCCTATTATAATGCCGAAGAATACATTGAGCACAAGGATGTGTGGAAGTGACTCTTGCTTTGTACAATTGCAAGTCCCCTAGCTGCTGCTCATTTTATACTAAAATAATCTTGTATTGTCTTCTCTTAAGTAAACTTAATGACGACCGCAGAGTTTCTTGCGAGTTCTTCTCTGGACAGGTCTAGTTTAGTGAACCGGTGGTAGCGGTTTAGTCTTTTGACGTTCAATAAAAGCTTAAAATAAGTTTATATTGAATAAATAAAAAAAAATAGGTGTGGGTAAATATTGGTAATTAAATAAAAATCTAAACAGTAGGGCCACGCAACAGTTTTCACTGTTGCACGAATAGGCAGGTCCGTACGGGTAAGTACCACGACCTCACAGAGGACCGGCGTGAAGAGGAAGTGTTGTAACTTCTGCGGTACGTCTGGTGAGTGAGGTAGTCGGGGCCCATTTTAACAAAAGCTGGCCTAACAAAAATCCTACGGGATGTTGCAATTGTCAATGGGGGGTGGTAATCACTTAACATTAAGTGAACCGCTTGCCACCGTCTCACAAAAAGAAAACAAAAGAAAAAAGGGTCTTTCTAGGTCGCATTGTGCGTTGGGACTTACTGCCCATCCCCTTCCACAATAAATGCAAAACATGTACACGAGCATTGGATAATCGTTGGCGGCTCGGCGCATGCAACCGACCGGTCGAGATGCAGCCGACTATGCAGTTCCTGGGTTTCACAACGCGAGCGCGGCGCTATAGCGAGGCTGATAAGTAAAGACACTTTGTATGCGACACCCTAATGTTGACTATGCTGCCTAGATCGCACAGATTGAACTGTGAAAGAGTTGACATACGGAGGCTTACACCGAGGTAGGGAAACACCGAATTAAAGGACAAAAACATAGCTATTGACGAATAGGTCACGTTATGTTAAACGAATTTCCCAATAATTTAATAATACGATAGGAATCAGTGAAATGGGATGCATCGCTAAAATTGCACAGAGTTGAATTTTACAAAAGAATGTTTGAATCCACATAATTTTCATAAACAAGTTCTCGTGAACAACCGTGTTTTGTTTATGCTTGTAGCCTCGGAACTCCGTCTTTAAGGTTCCGATTTTATTTATTTTTTTTTCTTTAGGGTTCGGCTATGGACATATTTGAAATACTTAGCTTTTGTTTTTTTGGTATTAATAAAAATATTGTACTTGTTTGAAGTCGGTCACAATCCTGTTCATATTTCTCGCATTTAATTAACACATACCATGCAGGATTCCACCTTTTTGTTGTAGGTATTCCCAGGTCAAGTAACATGCACGCATAATTTAAATATGATGAAAATTTTAATAAGTAAGGAATGCTAAATGAAAAAATTGAGAGAAATCGGTTGAGTTTCACTTTTAATAGCGTGCAACCTCTATCTTTTATAAAATAAAATATACAAAGTAAATTAAAACATTCACATGTTTGGTGTATCGGTTATTAAAATATGCATGATGATACATTATATATCTGATGATGTCCTTTACTTCATTGCTTCTAAAAGGGTCGAAATATTTATAAATAGACCTCCAAACTCCAATTGCGGAATGAAGATATTTTAAGTAGGTACTTTGTCCCGTTTAATTTCTTTGAAATCTTCCGCAAAAAACCGTGAATTGGTTACTATAAATAATGTATGATGTATATATAAAACAAAACACTAAAATTTAAGTCGGTGTTCATACAAGTTTACTACAGGGCAAATATAGGTCAAATTCATTATACATCGTATATAATGGCTGATTTCACAGCCCGTTATAAAGGGCAAGGCTGAAAGCAAATGTCACGTCCATCACGGTTCCGGACAGTAACCCTGGCATTTATAAACTTATATGTTAAGTTATAAGGGCTGTAACTTATATGTTACACGGTACCGCTGTAATCAGCCGATTATAAATCAACTGTTATCTAGAGTTTTATTAAGTTCAATTTTAGTTTAAATCTCCAAAGTTTCTTACACTTTACAACATACATTCCATGGATACATTCGTAGTATGCGCACATTCCAAACATATTTTAAATTGGGAATTAATATAACATTAAAAACAATATGTTTAAATCCCTCTATTGTACCCTTTGCTTGGAAGACCTCAGTAAATTACAAACGAATATAATACGAAATACGAACGCATGAACTGGCAGGCTCCGCTGCAGACCAGCATAAGAGTTCATCATCGCATATGATTGAGTGTGGTGATGTGATGTGATGAAGTGGATGATGCCCTTTACGTTTAGCACATCATCCACATCCCCTGGTGTCGCGTATTAACAAATGAACATCGTCAGGTTTGAGAAAAATTGAACGACCCGAATTCAGCCGGAAATTTCCCAACCAAACTTGATTATTTTGGCGCGTGGCGACACCAAATTCGATGGAAGTTTGGACAAACGTATACGGGTCGAACGTTGTATTAACATTCCGCTGGTCGATGGTCGATTGCGTGGAAGAGAGCGAGGGGTTACCGGGTACCGTGTGGTGACGCGCGTCCGACCACGTTTTCCGTTTTCCGTTTGCGTTACGTAAGACTTAGGGCCACGCAACAGTTCCAGCTGTCCGACGAATGGGCAGGGCCAGTCAGTTGTGCACCGGCCCAGCAACGAAGTAAAGGAGGCCCAAAAAGGCCATAGAAAAGGCAATAGTCGCGCCGGGGTCGAGGAAGATTGCGTCCACATGTTCCCGTGTCACCGGCCGATGCGACAGAGACAGGTGCAACGTGGGTCTTTTAGTGGGTACCCGTTTCTTACTGAGACTCACACGCCCTGCCACTCCCCCGATCCAATTGTAGGGGATCCATAAAGCATTTTTCCGAAAACAAAAAAAGGGTCCGTCCGTGGTGAAGTTATGATTTTAAGTTGACTGGTGAATAAAACCGGGGCGCATTTTAAAGGTTGGCGACGCATCTACAACCCGTGCCTTGAGCGTAGGAACCGGGGCAAATTTTTTTGGGTGGCGGTAATTCTTTAACAATCCTTTTGGCAACTCAAATAACATTTGAAAAGCCATTTGACAGCTGATTAGTTGACTTCTACGTTGATCACTGTTTCAGTGTTTCAACCGGGCGTAAGTATCGGCTTCGACAAATAGTTAAAATCGTAAGTATACCGTACATAAAATTGAACAAAACTAAAAGGTTCCGAAAAATAAATGAACAAAGATACTATTTGAACACGCTATTCGCTTCAACATATTCTCCAGTAAAAAATAATCATTAAACAAGACACGGAGGGTAAAAACAAAAGTCAGAAAATCACTGTCCGAGGCACCAGCAAGTCGCTAGAAGGAAGTTGTTTACAAGCGGGATATGACGTCACAGCGCCATTTAACTCTCGATTTCTGGACGAAACCGTGTCCGTCCTCTCGACACCAACAGAACAGGGCTTTCCCCCACTAAGTCGGAAACAAGCGAATTTATTTGTAACTTTTTTATACCAAATACGTTACCGTTATACGATACCGTTATACCAAATAAGAAAGTTTAAACAACGATATTTTATGAACACTGCATACCAACTCATGAATTGTGAGGCGATTACGCTTTACTGCTAGAGTTATCGTTACGTTTTATTGTTTTATTTCGATGATCGTAATACATTTGTGCATTCTTGGGATTACAATATTCAATACTTTCAACATAAGAAAGTCACACTTTATCTAAAGTCTTGCAAATTTCATTTACATACCGCTCCTCATATATTCTACTCTTGAGATTACTGTCCGAGACAAAAAGAATACTAAATACAATACGAATTATTACTAAACATAGGTGAATACATAATATTCTGCTGCAGTGATTATAAACGATAAACGCTTTACAAAATCCGTCATTCCACCGTCGAATTTATTCGCAGCGGGATACCACCCTTATCTTGTCGACATTTCACGTCTTAAAAAATCTCAAACTTTTCAATTCGCACAAAGGATAGTGATTTTTTGTATGCACATTTGTTATGTTTAATATGTTCTGTGATGTGAGCAAGTTTTACAAACATAAATTTAGCGTGGACAAAAACGTACAGCCGAAATAACTATCTATAGATCACACAACTAGTTGTCCGGGAATCGAATCCAAGACCCCTGCTGACTGCGCCACGGAGTCATTTGTTTTATACTATGAAAATAGGAACTACCGATTTCCTCCAATCATGAACTGATCAGAGTTTGTTTTTACACGAAGGCGAACGTTCGCCGTTTATGATGATGACCGGTTTGTGCTTTCAACCTTTGGAACATGTTCCGCCAGTTTCAATTGGTATAGTTATTTCCTTGGTGTTCTTATAAAAATCTCATCGAAATTGGATTTAATACATCTTTTGGAAATACACTAACCTAAATATACACTCACGATGTAAACAAACAGTTCTTGTTAAAAATGACAAGTCTTCACCGTCGTCAGCATACGTGACTCCGGTCAGCATACGTGACACCACAGGCGCGAGCATACGCGGCGGGCAGCATGCGCAACGGCTTATTAGCGGAGCGTTCCTTTCGCAATCGGGGTATTTGGAACGCCGGCCGCGTGTGCCAATCGATCTCCGACTAGGGGGCCGAGTTTGCAACACGCCGCCCACTGGCGACGATTATCATGCGAATGCGACCGATTTCCAAATCGGAGCTAAATAAATAAACAATGAACATTTCATTTTTTAGTTATACTCCATTTGGCGCGTTTGGTAAGCAAAAAGGTTAAAGAACCGGCCCAGTGCGCGTTCGATTCGCATACGGAGGGTGCTAAACGATGGTACGTTTAGAACCCTTCGTATGCGAATCGATATCGATCGATAATCGAATTGATCTATGAAAACTGCAAAAACATCATGTCTGTTGCATGGGAGCAATTTTTGCAATTAAATATTTTTTATTGTGATTTTTAGTATTTGTACTCATATCGGAAACAGAAATACATCATCTGTGAAAATTTCAACTGTCTATTTACAGACGGACGGGTGTCTGCAAGATAGACAGACAGCAGAATATTAGTAATAGGGGCCCGTTTTACCCTTTGGGTACCCAACCCTAAAAAGCGACTCGATGAAGTTGATTACACAAAGCCAACTACATTATTCTTGGCAGACGAAGTATTTTTTTTTTATGTGAAAAGTTGCCAAACGAGCAGACGGGTCACCTGATGGTAAGTGAATACCGCCGCCCATGGACATCTGCTACACCCGAGGGTTACAGATGCGTTGACAAACTTTTGAAAATTGGGCTCCGGCTACCTCACTCACCAGACGAAACGCGAAAGTATTTGTCATACTTCCACTTTACGCTGGTCTTCTGTGAGGTCGTGGTAGTTACCCGGACGGGCCTGCCCATTCGTGCAACAGCCTAGGCTGCTGCGTGGCCCTACCACCGTAATACGAAGTAAGAAGTCGCCGGTATCAGATAGTTATCAATAAAAAATAAAAGCTCCATAAACATATCTATACGAGGACAATCAGTACAATATCCTGTAATAAAATCAAAGTGTATGTCCGTCATTTCAAAATAAATACCAATGCTTAAGCAGTCGAAAACTGATAGGATGTCTTATCGCACGAGATCAAGCCAAATGACTAAGAAATAAAACTTATCAGAATTAATCGTAATTTCGTAATGTGTCCACAATGGCAGACCTCTGGGCACGAACCCAGAAGACACAGGTTCGAGTCTCGCAGCGCCGAGTTTTTGTTCCTTTATGTACAAAAATTTACAATTTAAACTTACATTTTGAGTGCAGAGACTTAACATAAAAATAAAAATTGATCTTAAAAAACGATCTCTGTCATTTAATTTATAAAGAAAATTAAAAGTTTCTAAATATCTATAGGGACATTTTAAGGGGACACGGGACATTTTAAGGGTATAAAGTTAAAAAATGGCCGTCCTTACCACAGAATAGGAACGAAAATGCTGCAATGCGTAAGGCATTAACAACATTGGTCTAGGGACAAGAATTTAAAATATGATAAAGAAAAGCAAAAGGAAGGGGCTGAGCAGCGAGCGGAAATGTCACCACGGTTCACTAAGACTTGGAATCTAAACAAATCTATTCGAATGCAAACTGCTGCTTAACTTTTTTGACGTATCCAAGGAATTTAAAAAAATCGATTGTATTGGGTTTGTGGAATGAAACTGTCATTTATTGCCTTTGACAATTTTCGAAATCGTTTTATAAAAATAGTTTCATCATTTCATTTCTTTTTTAGTAGGGAGTCAAATGGAGTCTCAATAATGTCTTTCATCATTACTGTTACTATTTCATTTTTGAAACGATACCTACACTCGAACTTCGAGTTGTGTGTGGTGGAAGATTTCATAAATACGCAAATAATAATTACAGGGTACAGTTAGACGCGGACGTAGGCAATTTATTACAGATCATACAAATTTTGTTCCGTGTGGTGTCGAACTCACTACACAGCTGTCATATAATTAATGGAAACCCAAATTATTTTTATTCAACGTCATTTGTGGTAGCGCAATCAGTTTATTAAAGTGATTCATTGTTGCGACTGGTGATAAGTGATTGCGAGCGGTACTTTTCTCGCAAAAAGGTATAATTATTCAGCGAGGTAAAAGAAGTAGGCAGACTTAACCCATGGCGCTGGGGAACCTGTAGAATTTACACGTTATTCAATAATTGTGGAAATAATTATTAAATAATGTGGAAATATATTTCTATTTGTCAAGATTGTAAAGATTTTTCATTTTGCGATTCATTATCCTAAAATGAAAATAAGTAAATATACCAGTTTTATTGTTGTACAAAGTAAAACTACGGTGATTTGATAAAAGTATTTATATTTCTACCTTCTCAGCTCGATGAAACAAAGTAGAGCTAATATGACATCCACGTAATCAGACCAAAGGAATGTGACCCGCGTATGACATAAGGGCGTAACACAATATGTCGAAGTGCATCGGTGAGGTAACGTACCCCTTACCGATACGGGCGGCACGCGGCTTCGTAACCCTAACCGAAAGAGACGACCCAGATACGCGGCCTTAAGGCTCGATTCACACCGAAACGGCATGTGTCGCGACAGTGCATTTCGATAAGAATCCAAAATGGCGTTCACTATGGACGATATTTGTATCATAGACTGAATAGCGAACATCACTAGCAGTGTATTCTATATTAGTCTATGGTCTCTTTCTCTCGTCACTGCATATTGTTGCATATAGAGTAATGTAAGATTTTTATAGTAATTCAAAATAATTAATAAATAATTGTTTGCTCCCATAATAATTATTTTTACGCGCAAGATAATTATTTTTTTATTTGAGGGGAACCGCCGACTTGTTTGCCAAGGTGGCAAACAAGTCGGCGGTTCCCCTCAAACTCACTCTCAAAATATCTTTATCTATTTGAATAAATTTGAACGCTTGCGTGTGCTTATGAAACGTCCAATTTTACATAATAATTGATACATAAGTTCGTAAGTGTAGTTCGGAAAGCAGTTTGTGTTGAGAAGAAACCTGTAAGAAACTCAACAGTTGCTCTTTTTTTATAAATGATAACAGCCTGATGTTAAGTGACCATCGCCGCCCATTGACATTTTAAACACACGTAGGGTTGCAGATGCGTTGCCAACTTTTAATAAAATAGGTTCCGGCTTCCTCACTCACTAGATGAAACGCAGAAGTACAACACTTCTAGTTCACACCGGTCTTCTATGAGGTCGTGGTACTCACCCGGACGGACCTGCCCATTCGTGCAACAGAAAAGTGTGTTGCGTGGCCCTAGTCACAGTCCACCTTATAAAACAACCTCTTAACAAAGGTTTATTATTTCATATATCAATTTGAACACCGCACATTTATCAATCCTTGATCTTTGCGTCATTTGTGGGAATTCAACGTTTTACGAAAAACCCTAGCACCGATGCCAAGAGCTCAGCAAATTTAACTTCGATCAGAATGCGCATTGAAGTCTGCCAGTTATGATGTGTTTGACTTCGTTTCTTTATTTATAAGAAAGCATCCAAGCCTATTCACAATGCCGTTTGGGCGTTTTAAATTCGTCTTCTTTTTCTTTTAATGTCGTCCGTGGTAGGAATCGGTGGGCTTTTGCAAGGATTTGTGGTCTATCAGATCTAATTGGACCACTGAATGGACGGGGCGATGTTAAATGTGGTCGGTGCTTGGTAGCATAAATGGGTTTTTAGGTAGCGATCAACCGCAGTTTTACAAAGCAATTACTCTATACAATTGAGAAGAATTCGATGCGATTAGGTGTGGCTAGGGAGTCTTATGTACCGATGATCCGCAGCAACATATTTCGGTCTCAAACACAGCCAAAAATAACAAAAAAAATTCTAAGAAATGACTGTGAAGTCTGGCAATCCATGGGGTCATGTAGTGGTCAGTGCCTTGATATTATCTGTACAGATAGTCTCTTTACTCAGCTGTAAAACATTACACGGCTCGTACTTTATTTTTTTATGGGCAAAATTGGTATTCGAAGCCATATGCTATTTCGCAATCCATGTAACTCACAACTCAGTCAAACTCCAGAAATAAAGATGTACCTTTTTAATTAATTTAGGCTTAACGCTTTTCTTATATCATCCATTGTTAGTCTTAATAAATAATAAATACGATACAGCCTATCCATAAATACCCAACTACAGAGCACATTCCTCTCTTTTACTTCACTTCGCCACATTTGGTGTTAGCGGAGCACTTCGTTGAAGTTCATCCAAACGTATACAGATAACAGATTATAGGTACAATAAAAAAATTAAGCGCCGCTCCCGCTGTGAATCGAGCCTTGCAGGCTGCGCGGCGTGGGGCAGTTTGCATCGGCCTCGAGTCCGATTTGGCGCCGGTCTTCAGTTCTACACGCCGGGTCGCGTCGCGAGGTGCCGCGAGCCAAGACAAGCTCTACCACCAACCGAGTCCGTTGTATTCAAATCATTTGTCCGTATAGCACCGCATTCTCTTTTTGAATTTCGCGCCTAAACTCTCCGAGCAAAAAAAAACAAACCTAGAATATTTTCTTTTATACTTAATAATACTTTTTTTTTAATATTTATTCTGCCAATTTAAAATTAATAATCATTAATCATCTTGATCTATACCTGATATTTTCAAACGGATATTTTTATATTTTTCGCCATGTTCTATTTTTATTTTCGACCGTCCGCTCGTTCCGTGAAATTATATGTAATAAGTAATATAATGGAGTAGATTTTTTAAGTGACTACAAATTATGAATAGCATTGCTTTACGTAATATGGCTGTGAAAAATATTTCGCAATTATACGTTCAATTGTGTTATTTTATAAGCGTATAAGATTTTCTCAGTATTTAAAATAGATATATTAAAAAAATATATCTTTTCTCATAACTAAGTAAATTGATATAAAGATGTTAAAATTTTTTATAGTTTACTGTCTAAGTTCTCAGTATCTGGCATATGCAAGAAATTACGAAGTAATCGAAATTATCTAACGCTCCCTTAATGAGTTACGTCTCTCAGAATACGTCAATGACTATTTAATTGTAGACTTATGTACACGATTAGATAACAGTGTTTCGTCTGTCATCTTGGTGGTGTTTAACTTGGTTATAGCACGAAATGATTTGCTAAGTATAGCTCCATACAAAATATTTCTTTCAACACGAAAGTGACGTTAAATTTAAAACATTCAGATTAATTATCGACTCATTTTCATTGTCATTCGTTTGGATTAAAACCATTTGAGTAGAGATCTATCACGATTCGTAGAAATGTTTAAGATGCACCGACGGCACATGGCGTTTTTGCCGTAATGTAGTAGTGTAATTAATTCTATTGCTTGTCAACAGAACAAGAGAACAAAAGGCATATCGGTGAAAACGTGAGAGAAACGTACGGACAGAAAGAACGGCTAACACGAGACAATATTGAACATTAGTGCCGCGCAGTGAGAAGTGTTGTGTCACCAGTGACTATTATTAGCTCATTACTCGAATCACTTTCATGCTAATTACATTTCCAATCGAATCTTAGACCAGAGAGTACAGTGTTGAAGCGTTCCGGAAGAATAGTGCAAGCCGTTGAACAACAACCATGAAAGTAAGTGTGTTTTATACGAAATAGATGTTATAATAGACTTATAGAGAAAGGTTCAGACCCGTTTAAATACCGGGAAGGGAAACCCAAACAAAACGATCGCAAAAAGCAGTGTTACGAGTTATGACAAATAATTATATTATTATCTCGTGTTACTAAGACATAATCGAATGAGAAACCGAGCCAAGGTCCAACTAAATGAGGTCGATGGTATTAATTAGTCGCGTTGTAGCCTGTGTCCATACTGACATTGCATAATGTAAAAGCCTCTAATTCGATCGATCCAATCAACACCGCGCCGGTCTAGGTAGCGTTAATATGAGACTAGCGACCTGCCCCGGCTTCGCACGGGTGTAATGTATCATACATATAAACCTTCTTCTTGAATGATTCTATCCAGAAAAAAACCGCATCAATATCCATTGCGTAGTTTTAAAGATCTAAGCATTCATAGGGACAGACAGCGGAACGAAATTGTTTTATCCTATGTAGCGATACTATTAACACCGTCTGATTTTCGACGTCTGTTCCAAAGCTGGAGAGCGCAATGCACGTGAATAAGTTAAGCAGTTACGACAGACCTTGCGAAAACTTCTCGCCGCGCCGGCTTCGAGTAGAGTTTAAGGTTGTAGCTTCATGTGACATCACTGATATTAGATGCTCTATCCGGCACTGTACACTTTTAAGTTATTCAACAGTTGGGCGTTTCTACAACAATCACTGAATGCAGTTGAGTTATAAAAAAATCACAAATTCATCAAAAAATAACTTGTGTGTACCACACGACAGTCTAGGGATTTTGATATCCCAGCCCTGTAGTCTCGGGCTTATAGAATAGGGCTAAGGTATCCCCTGCCTGCCGCAAAAGGCGACTAAAAGGGGACACGGATTGGCAGCAATCACCGAATATTTCCCCTTGAAGATTTCCCTGGATACAAAAAAAAGGGGTTGGTTGTCGAATAACTTATCCGTACTCTCATTTGCGGATCAACTTACGAAATGGCAAAGACCTCACATGACCCGCCTGAATCTAGGTTTGTTTAGTCAACATCCGGTACCTATTCACGTCGAGCTGAAACATAATACAGGTTACATCACTAAGCGGTCTAGGCTTAAATTAACGCCGATACAAACCGACTGAGGTGCTATTTTACACTCGTTCAGCCGGAACAGTCATCGATTTAGTATCGATATCGAGATCAACGAAGAATAATACCGAAAACAAGTGACTAATTGACACTCGATAACGGCCGTGGATTATGCAAACCAGGGGCTTCGCTGTTGCATCAGATCTGGTAAGGTTTCACTGTTCACGATCGTGGAGCGATAACTTGATCGATTATTCCACAGATTAACGGTAATCGCAATAGAATCGTTTTTTTTTTAAATAAACAACGATAACAGCAGTTAATTAATTCCGTTAATCATTAGTGGTGTACGAGAAGTAGCGACAACCGAGATCGAATGATTGTTAAGGGCTTAATATTTTACTTATACTTGACTATTATAGGTACTTAATTTTATCGGGAAAAAATATTATTTATTTCAATATTTATATTATTTTTCTGTGACATTGAATTTTGCTTAAATTACATAACTAGATAATATTTTTCAGTGATAACGCGATGTGTGATTAATATTGTAACAAGTTAGTGTACAAACAAATCTTTGCCCCCAATATCAAATCGAATTGTGAACGACCTTGTAACACTGAGATTACATCTATAACAACCGACTTTCAAATTAGGAAGGTAAAAAGCTTGTACATAATACTTTAATGGTAAGATGTTTTTGGGAATAACCAAAAGACGTAAATGAAATAGACATCATAATAAAAATGTATGAACTCATACAAAAAACTTATATTTGAATACTTATTTTATAAAATAAATATGTCAACATCCCCAATTATTATTTTGCATGATTATGATACAAAGTACATACACCTTATAATTAATGGAAATACAAACTAATAAATAATAATTCATATGCGAGAAAAATTGTTTTGGTTTAAATTTAGTCCTTTTTTATCCAACAGCACAAAATTAGGTAGCTAACAGATTAGGGACAAGTTATTTTAAAAGTCTCCTTTACGACAGAAAAAACTAACCAGACACTAAAAATACATTAAAAATTAACCAGAAATAAGATTCTGTGAAATTTGTTTCAGTAGCAAACTTAATGTAAAAAGTACCTGGAGGAGTACGCGGTTCTTATCACGATCATTTACACACTTATTTTTTTTCCTTTTTTTTCTATACTAGAGCATTTTCTTTATTTTTAATTTTTTTATTTCCAAGATACATGATTTACCAAAAAAAAACCGAGCAAAGCTCGGTCCTCCAGGTACTATTAGAATTAAACTATAACGATTAAAGTTTTGAAGTCTACAATTGTTTAAAAGGGCAAACAAAAAATGGCTATGCACTGCGTTTGACACCGTGGATTTGAACCTTTACCAAGCAGTTGGAAATTAGACACTATTTTCAAGTGTATAACCTAAATTTATATAATTAACTACTTTTCGTCAAATTCTCAAAACTCGACCCTAACCGTTATTCAAAAATTTGATATGATACATCCGATTTACCATTTTTTACTCTTATACGTTCGATCATTACGTGCGAGTACTGGAGGCAATACAACTTCATATGTTCGTTCAATACAAATTATTTCAGGTTTACACTCACAATTATAATAATTTCTTGCATATAGGTAGGAACACCACATTGATAAAAAAAAGTTATTTACAATTTATTTATTATTAACTTTTACTTTCCAACTTTTTATTTGATTAGGGATCGCTACAAACTTTAAAATAATTCGTTCCTTTCTATAATATTATAAAGGCGAAAGTTTGTATGTATGGATGGATGTTTGTTACTCTTTCACGCAAATAATGCTGAATGGATTTTAATGAAACTTAACAATAATATAGCTTATATATATAACAGAATAAGGCATAGGCTATAATTTATATACATATTTTATGTATATCTGTCTTTCTATCTGAATGTTACGCCTTCAGCCTATTCTACGCAGACGTAGTCGCGGGCAACAGCTAATAATAGAATAAAAATTTTAAGTAGGTACGTTTTACATAGAGGGCACTCTCAGTAAGCTGATGATCGAAAGTTACTATATCAAAAGATATTTGGCACCCTGCCTAGTATTAATCGTTTGTTTTTGACGTTGCATTTCACTAAGCGCGTAATTTTAAAATTCCTGCCGTTGAGACAAAAAAATCAGATATCGTGGATCTCGCGTTCCGTTTCCAAGCCAATACACAGTAAGTAGTACAAACAAGACATTATATAAGAAAGAGGGACAGCGATGTAGTACTACTAGAATGTTCGCGGCTTTCTTTAGCAATAATGCGAAATGACGCACCATCTCGCCGGCCGGCTTTGTTGGTAAACACTCTTGCAAAATACCCCCGAATTCGAGAGCCCCATTCTCGCGTTGCTACGGTGTAGCAATCTCGATAGACCAGGTCAGTTTCCCAAGCGGTCGACGTATGACGTCCAATTTAAAAATTCGGCCTTGACTGAGTTATCGTACGCTGGAAAGTGTTACGTATTAAATATTGTGCTCTTTTTGTCTTGAAATTTGACAAGCGAGCAGGCGGTTCATCTGATGTAGTTCATCATTATCCCATCTAGGTGAGGTCGGCACTACATGTGAATCATGTCGTCAGTGGTTTTAGCTAGACGTCAACCCTCCTTGGGTACAAATGTCCAGATCGGGAACTATCTGTGGGTCACACAAGTACTTGCCCCGTGTGGGAATGTAATCCACGACGCCCGGCGCCGATGTCAATAGCTTAGCTCATGAACCGTGATAGTAAGAGAGTTGAAATTTTCACAGATGATATATTTCTATTGCCACTATAGCAACAAATACTAAAAAAAAAAATAAAGAATATTTGAGTGGGGATACCATACAGCAGACATGATTTTTTTTTATAGATAATGGTACGGAACCCTTCTTGCGCGAGCCCGACTCGCACTTGGCCGGTTTTTTTATTTTTATGTCATTAACTGTCAGAGCTAACGACTAGTTTACTTTTGGATAAGGTCTGACCACGCTTGTCTCCCCTTTCTCCATCATGACTTATCTTAGCTACGTAATTATTTTTAATGAACATTAATTATAATTCATTTCATACATATACTGCACATTGAGCAATGATAATATTCTGTTCTATAATTAAAGTAATAAATTTCATTAATGTCATAAAATTTTCTTTGCTTATTTTTAAATATTTCGAAGATATTATTCATGCATAATCTTTATCCCTTCTCTTTAATATTTGTATACGGTATTTAACTCAATGTACACATTTGCAACACGAATCGCACAATTCCAGAAACTTCCCCGCATTCTGCAAAAAGTCAGTTATGTAAGATCTTGTATATACATACCAGTGAAGTTAGCTACGACGCTTTACGCAACCTGTATAAGGATTACGAATCTGTCAAAGCGATGCTATTAAAAGCTTAAACAATGTTAAATTTGTTCATTTTAAAATGCAGTGATAATGTATATCTAAATAGTATACAGCATAATACACTTGGTTGAACGTGGCAAGCAAATTGTTTTAATATCTGCCTACATATAAAGGTATAAGAAGCGATGGTCGAGCTTCATGTAATTAGTTCTATTTTATCCATTATGGATGGATGAATTTAAAGTAAATAAGAATATGTAAATAAGTATACGACTCGAATGGAATCATCTCATGTATCATATCACGGTATCTACATTAGCTTTGCCCATTGCTTGCATGTGGTGAGCTAAGTGCCTAGTTATTTACCTTTCTAAATCATCATCGTTATTTAATCCAGATTTTATATCGGAAGCTATAATAAAGTGTATCTAGAGTTATAAGCGTTTTAAGAGCCAGACAGATAGTGAGATGTTGCGTCTTGTAATATGTGCGAATACAACTTTGGTCTAGCTTTCAATGGGCGACGAGTTTAAACCAACAACGAATTGAAATTGTTCAAGTTATGTCCCTTTGTGAAATTCCCGTTGCGTTGCGTTTAAGACGTTACGTTTCAAGTGTTAAATGCACGAGTGCGTTTAGACTTTCGAAAGATTAAAAGCAGAGTAAACGCAGAATGCAAAGGACAATTATGTGTTTTAATTCGCTTCGCTATTCGAGGTCGCGGATTGTTACTGAGAAGATGTTCCAATATCGGAACTAATTGTCAATTTCTACAGCGCCTACAGAATAACGAATGATAATTGCCCTATCCGTGGCTACGTGCATATTAAACCATTTCAGTGACGTAGACAAACAAAAACATTAGTATCTAACTGCCCTTGAACCTGTCACGCCACTTTCTCTGTACGCAGAACCATTCATCACCTTCGATTTCTTAGTCGTCGATTACGGGTGATATTTACTTCACCACGATCTGAGATAAAATTAAAAAAAAACAGTCCTAATAACACTATCATCCAAATCCGTAATCGTTACTAGCAGTTTTAATAATAATTATTTAAAAGATGGCAAACGAGCAGGCGGATGCTGACAGCTGTATGAAGCAGTTGCGTTGCTTTATAGTAGAAGTTGTTTTTTGATTTGACTTTCTTTTTTTGTTCTTTTTTTTTCTGTAAAAAAAATAAAAACATTTTGTTACGAGTGACGTTGCGAATGCAACACAATCGATGAAAACGAGTCCAGCGCGTTCCGCGTAAAAGCTGACAATGGGCGAATCTGGTTTGAAAGAAACGCGACGCCATGGCGGTGTTGTCGATTATTTACGGAGGGATTTTCGAGCGTTTGGCCGGTGCGAGAATACTGCACTGAGTTGATTTACATGGTAATGGAAATTAATGTGAAAAGGTGGCAAAATAGCTGGTAGATAATTGGCCGGATTTTAATTGATAACCACCGCGTATTGACTTCTGCATACGAAGGGTTGGAGATTCGATTACACCTTTTAATAAAGTGGGCCCCGGCTACTTCACTCACCAAACGAAACGCAAAATTATAACACTTCCACTTCACGCCAGTCTTATGTGAGATTTTGGTACTTACCCGGACCGATCTGACCATTCGTGCAACAGTAATGGCTCTACCACGCTGTCGCAGTTCTGTTTACAATTCCAAAACCCAGATATCTAATCCGGCTTCCGATTGAAAGCAATCTAAAGGTTCGAGTGATTTCTAGGCGTCGCATATTTTATCTATCGCTTCCATTTTGTTCAAGTGTACCTATAGTCGTTAAAGTTGGCATCTGATGGATGTACTCATGTGAATTTCTAAACCACTGCTGCGGTGAAGCAACAACAGCTTACGTAACACCTCAGGAAAAGCTGTTCGTGTAGGCCAGCTGTTTAGGCGGTTCATTTACACGTCCGTAGAACTAAGTAACTAAGGGTACAGGAACATAGAGACAACTGAACTGAAAAAAACACATAATATGAAAAAACAATACCAAAACTATAAATACTATAATATCATGTTTAAATAAAACGTTTAGTGAGTAATTCACGAACTTTGATCAGAAAAATTGCCTCAAACGCAAATATAATTGTAAACCAGTCCTCTCGATGTCATTGAATAACTATGTTTGCTCAACAAACACGTCGAAGTAAGTAAATACTTACATACAATCGAGAGAAGACAAACCACGATTTGCCTAAAACAAAGCTGGTGATTTAACGCTCCGCGAAACCCAAACCACTCTACCGGAACTTAACCAAAAGCAAACGGGAGACAAACATGTTTAAGTAAACTTAAAAGGCCGATTGCCTAACTATGACAGAGTTACACTGTTTGTGTTTATCATAGACTATAGACTCTATGACGTAACCTGATAGTTGGACACGCAAAAAAGCAAAATAATGTTGGGCTATCACCAACTAAAGTAGGTCGATTTCCACATTGAAATGGTTCCAGGAGAACCTTTCTCCTATCATAAAGATCGATTTAAATACACCATCACATAAGTATTGAATTGGTTTAATTGTGTGTGTAGGTTTATCGTATTTCAAGCGTCTATTACCTTGTTCTAAAACACACAGCGTGGACACTGGGTTCACGGGCGATCGGGACGGGTTGCCTGAACTCTCACTTTGGAGGACTCCGTAAGGGTGGCCACACAAGTGGAACTGAGGAAGGTTCATTCTTCCCAGGAGCATTCGTATGCACTCCAAAGTGGCGCCTGTCCCGAAGGACATACCGGACCAATGTACTGAGGTTCACCACTGTTTGGGCTTTAGTGAGAAAACCAAATTGCCATACAAAATAAGAACGAGTATTTTTGAACATTTTCCCTGTATAAACAAAAACAAAAAGGAACATAAGTTGTCCTGTACCCCACGGCAAATGAAATAAATCCGATTTTAAATCGAAAAAAAAAATTACTTTAATCCGACAAAAACTTATAAATAAAGATATTATAAACTAATTTGAGTTGCCAAAAGGATGATAACTCTCTGACTTCTGATCAGAATGATCTTGTTAATGATCGGAATAATGTTAGTGCATCATTATCGTTACGACTGCTCATACGATTTCTACAAATTATTAAATAAAAGAAACCATATCCGCAAGTGTGGGATAAGAAAATCCCGTGTTGTAATCTAGTTTTACAAACGAAAGTAGTTTTACAATGCAGCAGCGATCGATCTAATCGATTATCTCCAAGAATCGGCGAAGTAACAACACTAACTCTTGGGCGGCTCGTTGAAATTAATAACCATTTTTTTATTAACGAAAACAAACCGCCTTCAAATCTCGCTCTCTATTCATTTTATAATTGATTTTGAGGAGTTCCCTAAGTATCTCCGAAGCCCAAGATCAAATGATGTATATGATTAATATGGGGCCACAAGGCAAGCACCAGCTTTCAAATAAAAAAAGAATCATCAAAATCGGTTCATTTACTCAAAAGTTATGAGGTAACAAACATAAAAAAATACTGTTGAATTGAGAACCTCCTCGTTTTGAAGTCGGTTAAACAACGGCTATGCGAACAGTTTGATGAGCGAGAGCCCCTTAGGACCCTTAACGATTACGAACAGCTATTGCTCTCGACTTGTTTCCAGGGGATTTATATTTCGAGGATCATGAGGGGACATCATTGGAGATATTTTTCGGGCCGACGGGAGCCAAGAGACAGTAAAATAACAGTTGTATGCAAAATTATTCAGAACCTCTTCTATGTGAAAGAAGCGGAACCAAACAAGAACACAATGATCGCAGGGGTCATCACTGCACAAATTCAGATTACAGCAACCACTCGACTTCGCTGCGTCGGTATTGTTCCTTGAGATTAGATTGAAATGTATAAAACATGATAATCTGTAGGATAAATCATACATATCTATCCAAAATGGCATTTATTTTTTTTATTGAAGGTCGGCTGGCGTTATTTTCTTTTATTCCAGCTTTTATCCAGCATCGCTTGGCGGAAAACGCTATTAATTCTGATGAAATTGATTTCTAAAAAGTCGGGTTCAGAGTTCCACACATTCTCAAAGTGGTCACAGAAGACCGCTCTGGTTGTGACGGGTTATTTAATCAATATATGTTATCATGAAATAGAACATACATTGTTTACTTTCGTTAATAAAATTAGAATCACCCATCCGCCTTAACGTTTGTTTATTACGGAAATGTATTTATAAAAGCTATCATCATCATCATCATGATAATTTCAGCCTGTTTGAGCCCACTGCTGAACATAGGCCTCCCCCACAGACTGCCACGAAGCAAGATCCCGAGCCACATGCATCCATCGACTATATACAAAAGCTATATAGTCCAGATAATCCATAAATCGTTAATTGGTTACCTAATATCCATCTGCAAAAGCCTTGTTGTAGCAGATGTTCATGGGCGGCGGTATTCACTACACATCAGTGAACCGACTTGTCGCTTCACAACTTTTCACATAATAAAAAAAATCAAGGAAATTTACGTAATTTGGTGACGCATTAACCAGATCGTTAATGACCATTTCTTATAAATAACATCCTTGGTCTCACGACGGTCCTCGCACTTGCACGCGCACAAGGCATTCGCCGGCGAACTGTGTCAGCAAGCATTATAAATTACGGCCAAGTTCAGAGCGAGATCTTTAACTCGAACGGACTTCCAAATAAGTATCACTAAAAATGAGACGAGACCTCCGAGTATACAAGAAAAACTTGCAAAACTATATTGCTGCCTATATTTCACTTTTATCAAATTTCAAAATGCAAGTTTGAAGACATTGCATAACTCGTAATTTATAAATTTGTCACATTTTGCTGAAGAGCGTTAACTTACATAACAAGTGTAATACGAAATGATGTAAGTTCATGTCCTAAATAAGGCGCGGCCCTAACGACGATTACTAAACAACGTTTAACAAGTTATAAGATTCCACTATGTAAGTGAATATATCATTACTTCTTTACTTAATATACTTAATATTTAATACTTAATTTTAATCCTTACTAATATTATATTGGCGAAAGTTTGTATGTCTGGATGGATGTTTGTTACACTTTCACGCAAATACTACTGATTGGATTTTAATGAAACTTCAAATAATATAGCTCAGCATCAGAATAAGACATAGGCTATAATTTATATAGATATTTTATGTATATCTGTCATTCTGTCGGAATGTTACGCCGTCAGCCTATATTCTATGCAGACGTAGTCGCGGGCTGTATCTTTATATGTATAACTCTTCTTTACGTGTATGTCACTGAACTCCTCTCAACGACTCGACCGATTTTTACGATTTTTTTTGTGTCTTCAGGTAAATTCTAGAATGGTTTAGATTTACAATTCGGTCCAATACAATGTTTAATTTTTTTGTTTATAAGTTGTTGTTGGATTTAGGTCGTGTGTACAGGACAAAGTCTGTTGGTCCGCTAGTATAGACATAAATTCTTTCGTTTTGTCCGAGACAAACATTTTTTTATCCTAAACATTTCTAACGAAACCTCAATCTTCCTGATTTATGATTTACAGCAAATTATTGGCAGTTCTCGTGGCAAATGTGAACAGAATTTTAATGCGCTGTTGCGTTTATCATTTACAGCATGAAAACTTCCCATCAGGCAGTATATTAAAATCGAAATTATTGTCAAATTGAAGCCTATCTGAAGCAGTAATGAACGTTAAAGCCACCAAAGATAAAGCTGACATAAAATAACCAGCCAAATACACTTCAGTGAAATATATTCTACTTTTCTGGGATGAGAGGTCATACGAGAGAATCAGTATAAAATTAGCAAAAATATTAATGTATATAATGAATAGTGTAAAAGTTCTCCCATCTAGAGCTTATACCGGGACTGGTTGCTAACATTGCGAAACAAATTGTCACACGGATGAGGGACAAGTGCTCAGACGTAATGACTTTCACCGTCTAGACAATAGAGGGCGTAATCAGAGATTACAGTAAACAAACGTAGACAAGCTTTATAAGGAAGCCTACGCCCGAGACAGTTGCATCGTTCTGTTAAAAGGCTTTAAAAGAAACGTCATGACACGTAGTTAGATATGCTAAGACGGCTTGCGTGAGCTTACGTTCGAAAGTGGTATATAAGGTTAATCAAAACAGCATTCGTAATTCCGTAACGGGGCGCAGTTGCCAAGATATTCCGAGGGTCGAGTGGGAATCGAACCTCGGGTTTTCGGTTCCGAGACAATATTTGTGTGACCCACTGATCATTGTTTCGAATCCGGGTGTTTGTCCAGGTGAAACTTATGCTTGTAAAACGTACTTACAACACACAAAATGTTATCCTAAAGTAAGGGCTAGAAGCATGTTAGTGAAAAGAAGAAAGGCACAAAAGTACAAACAACGGATATCACTATATAGTATAAAACAAAGTAATCGATCTTGATGCGATTTTTTACTAGCGAGTGATTCAAGAGCAAGATTTACATGTTTAATACATAATTGCACCCGCCTGAAGCCGGCTAGCTAGTAGTAAAGAAAACAAGAAACCGAAGCGATGGGGCGCACTCGATCTATCGCCAGTTGCTCAACGAAATGTAAGAGCGCATAACAAAATGCACGCGGCGTAGGGTAGAGCCCAATATTGCGGCGCGAGTTACCGCGAACACGTAACATGCGAATTGCATAATTACGGGCATTCGGAAGAAACGCCGCCGCGGTGGTCGCGCGTCGCGCAAATGCATTTTAGACGTTTTGACAAAAAAAAACATTTCAACGGTGCACTAGACTCGAAACGAAACCAGAGAGACATGTGAGTACTTAAAAAATAACGAACTTTAATTTACAAAAATAATAGCAATAGTAAATGAGCAGGTTGAAGAATAGAGCTATTTAATAATTAATTTATTCCTTACCTCCTAGTAACACAAAGCAGAACTGGAAAGTTTTTATATATAAATGGAAATGTGTTATTATTAAAGAGTAAAGAGTTTAACGACATACACATATACATAATTTAACGCAACTGCGTTACTTTATCAAAGTAGACATAGAACGTAAACGGTTTTTATAATTGTTCGCTGTCTATTTATTGGCATATAGAACTTAATGTATTATTCCTACAAACACCTGTCGATATCTCTTGGTTTCGTTAGCAGAGAAATAGTTGCATCGTATGCAACCATATTGGTCTAAATGTATTTCATTAAGGCGAAGGCACATTACCACCCGGATACGAGCACTTTACTCTCGCAATTTACATCATGAACATGAAGTATATTCATTAAACTGCGTAACGAGCGATTAATATCTTATAACGGAAGTTGACACGGGATTGGGCCTTTAAGATTGTTTCACTTGACACGAGTATGAAAAAATAGGTAAGAAAAAATTACAAGTACACTACAATTACAATTTTAAGTAAGATAAGAAAAATATAAATAAAACAATGCGATGATCGCGCGAACGCTTTCTGCAAAGACCGTTGAGATACAGTTCTAATATAAGACAGACCATGAGTTCGCTTCTCTTGTATCTTGCGTTTAACTATGGTGTGTCATCTAAGGGCCATCGAGGTCGCGGTTCGGACCGAAACCCCGATGGCTGTCGACTGTGCAATTAGCTAATCGGTGGCTGGGGGCGATGAGAACCGCCCCGGAACGCGGGTGTAACTTGTGTACGCGTTGTGTTCTTGTATCTTGTATCTTGTATTAACTGATGTTTTTGCTTTCAGTCCCGAGACTATTAAAGCTTCATCGGACGCAGAACCGGTGGGCTAGCCAGAACCCACGGGTTTGGACCCTCCGCTATGGGTAGGGTCGCGCATGTGCTCATGCGTGCGTTTAACTCACTATGGTGTGTCATCTAAGGGCCGTCGGGGTCTCGGTCCGAACCGGCGACCTCGACGGCCGTCGACTGTGCATTTAGCTAATCGGTGGCTGGGAGTGGTGAGAACCGCCCCGGAACGCGGGTGTACCTTGTGTACGCGTTGTGTGGGTCTCGCCGTGCTCGGAGGCGAGGGCGAACTGGTGTGATTGTTGTTACACTAACTGTAGGTGTAGTGTTATCCGGCGGGACCCCCGGCGGTGGGGGCGTTGTGTTGGTCTCGCCGTGCTCGGAGGCGAGGGCGAACTAGTGTGTTTGTTGTTGCACAACTGTGGGTGTAGTGTTATCTGGCGGGACCCCCGGCGGTGTGTCCTGTTCGCTTCTAGGTCCTCTAGTGAGAGTTCACAAGAAAGTACTGTACTCTTGGTGTTTATAAAACAAAGTCGTTCCGCTGTCTGTCTGTCCCTATATACCCGTTGCGGAGTTAGGCATCGGATCTTGATGCGGTTGTTTTTTCTATATAGGGTGATTGAAGAGGAAGGTTTATATGTATAATAAATTGCACTCGTGCGAAGCCGGGGCGGTTCGGTAGTTTGATATAAATTTCAATCCTTGAGTTAGTTGTGTTCGAAACACCTACCACTGACCTTATTATTATATCGAATATGAACTACATTTAAACTAAAATAAAAAAGGGCAAAAGATTTTTTTTTGTTTTTCACATACACTAACGACTTCTCCCAAACACTACTGAACAGATTGACAAGCGATAATGCTGCGAGCCAACTAAGTGAGTCGCATTCTATTCCGATTTTCACTTGTACACGCGTTGACCCATTCTCGGGAGAGTGTCCCCTGCAGGAAGTGGAACGGGGCAGTGTACGTGGCCGTTGGCCGTTGTTACTTAACAGAGAAAGTGTACTCGGCGGCCTTCACCCGCTTCCCGACCGGCCTCGCTGTGTGTCTTCACAAAGCTTAATAGAAGTAAACTAACACCCTATCTATGTATGTCTCATTGGTGGGCAAAGGTCTCCTCTGTACAGAGGTGAAAATGGCATAGTCACCACTGCGGATTGGCTAACTTCACGTAGCATCGAAATATTTTTTTGTTATTTTTTCGAATAATGCCGGTTACTTGGTCCTTTACAACCTTCATATTTTACTTGCTTATTCTTCGCTGTTTTCCGTTATGTTTAACCAATCTAAATTCTATTTTTCCTAGCACATAAGCCTTCATAATATATTTCAAATAGCTGTGGAATTTGTGCTAAAATAACATAATATAAAAATAAAGCTTTCTGCACCTTAGTCGGTACACGCTCTCTTTAATTGGACGCGGTGGACAGTTAAATAGCTTCACCGAGTTATTTTAGGTGCGTTTCACGAGTACATTTGGCGACATACTTCAGTGGCGACAAACCAGCCGGATACATGGTGACTTGTGCCCATAATGTAAGCCGAACACTGTTGGTGTACAACTGGATTTCGAACGCTTGATGCCAAATCTCGAGTCTGCACTGACTGTGGTTTATCGCGTAAGGAAACTTTATTATTTGCCCGCTAAATGTACATTAGCGGTCTTGCGCGAGTGAGGAAGTTTCATTGAGTTTGAGCAAACAGAATTATGGGGTCGATTCGCTGCAACTCGACACTTCCTCTTGCGAATGTAACCGTCTAAGTAGCCTTTTACTCGTTCATTGCATAACCTCTGCCTTCCGGTTATTTCTAGGGATCAGAACATTTTATTTTGGGAATTGCGTCTGCGTGGCCGCTATTCCACCCGATGGTAAATTGCTATGCAGCCGTAAAAGAAATCTACTGTTAGTGACCTAAAGCCCATTTTTTCTTGTCTTTAACACCACGTTATATTCTGACGAAACGATAGCTGATTCAGATGTTTGCGCACCCGACACCCAGGTCCGTCAACAAGATAAACGCACGAGCGCTCCTGCCGTAATACTGTACAAAAACCGAAAGTGCTTAAAAGGCGCGCCGAAATGAAAAACGAATACAGGTCACTCGGCCACAGCGACCGTATGCGGGCGAAACGATATTACTGCGATTTAATAATCACCTTTTAAGAAAGTGGGTTCCAATTACCTGTCTCTCTCTCTCTTTCTCTCTCTCTCTCTCTCTCTCTCTCTCTCTCTCTCTCTCTCTCTCTCTCTCTCTCTCCTGTGCAATGATTATTCACATCTGGTGGTGTTCTGCCTTCCTGGTGTTGCACTTCCACTTCGCTCTATCCGACGCGTTACCTCACTCACCGGAGGAAATGCAGAAGTACAACAACACTTCTTCACGCCGGTCTCCTGTGAGGTCGTAGTACTTACAGATAGACAAACAACCTTCTGTACAACGTGTTAACCTTTTGCTTTTCGTCTGGTGAGTGACCGTCGTCGTCTGGTGAACCGAGGCTCGCTTTTCTAATGTTGGCAACGCATCTGCAACCCGTCAAGTATTTTAGATGTCCATAAGCGCCACTTTTTAACATAACATATAAAAAAGTTTTGAAAACTTGCATCCTGGGTTTTCGTAACCTTTTCTAAACCACCATTCTTTTTTATAACCATTTCAAAAAAGGAGGATCTTCTATGATCCATTGTATGTATTTTTTATATCATTCCCCTATTTCTTCCCATTTGTGCACCGATACTCAAAAATTTTTTTTGTGTGTTCCATTATTAATTTATTCTCCTATTTTTACAACAATGAAACAATACTGCATTTGTTTATTTGAATGAAGTAAAATTTGAAACAAAGTTAGTTTCTCAATACAAATAATAATTATTTATACGGTCTTGCACCAAATCACCAGCGTTTGACCCCAATGTCCCAACTTTTCTCGCCCAACGGAATGGGTGTCGTGCCGCTCTTTAGCGATCTCAACTCGAACGCTTACATCGTAACACATTCGAGTGACGACCTTCACCCGCCGTCGCGCATTTTTCATCGCAAACTGGTTTCGGCTTACGCAAGATTTGTTTATCAATAATTTGACATAATCGTAAGCTACGCAACTATTTATGATGGCGTCGTTCTGTATAATTGCGTTAATAATAACGAAGCAGTAGACTGAAGCGAATGTGTGCATCGCTTATAACGATTTAAACGGTGTTTTATTCGTTGCTCAACTTTTTAGTGGTCCCTCCGCTTACACCTGTTGCATCAAACGTTACGAATGTTATTTAACTTTTAACGTTTTATAACGTTCTATCTATCGAACGTTTTCGATCCGGAAAGTTATATTTTAATAGCGAAACCTTTTGTTTTTATCTAATTTTTGTAACGATATTATCAGGAAATTGAATTCTCGGGAATAAAACGTTTATTCCTCTATAGCTACGAGTAATCGCTGAATCTCCAAACCTGGCCAGTCTTTATTTATAAAAATTTTGTTTCGCTAACATATTGTTAACAGTCGTCCGTAAAATATATAGAATCTAAATATTTAAAATTTTATGTTTTCTCAATGTACCTTTACAAACAACGAGTTAATGGAGTATATGATCTGATCAAAGTGTTTGTTAAAGTAGCCAAACGTTTTCTTTCATAAATGCTTTCTTTGTTAATTCATCTCCGAACTTAAATAACCAAAAACTATATAAATAACGTTTATATTAACTATATAAATATAGGTTAAAAAAAATATTGGTGACAAATTTCACATGAACAACTGGACCGGATCAGACCCCGGACCAAAGGTCCACGCATATTTTTGGCCTATATGGAATCGAATCCAAGACTCATGCCCAACAGATCAATATTTATCGATGTTGTTTCGGCACTAATCATCCGACAAGACAAACAAAACGACAATACCAACCCTGCTACAACAGGCCTTAAAACAACTCTGTCAAGCAGCAACTTGTCGAACTCGATGCTTCCCGCTTCATGCCTCGACACGTAACCTCGTCTAGTGTCATAATACAGCGCATAGTGCAACGTAACACAACGTAATGTACACAAGTAAATCACACGCGCGCGCTCATGCGCCACGTGCCATTACCAAAACAACAGACACGCTCCAATAACCAGCCAGCGTTCTACAGTGGGCACATTGTTCTTGGTCTGGCTTTGCGCTAAATTGAGCAGAATAAACTTGAAAGTGTTCTGTGACTACATTTACTTAACGGTGCTAAAGTAAATAAGTTCATAAGCTTGGACGAAACAAGTAATAGCCCTTTTCCATCTCTCATCTTTTCCATGACTCTGTCATATATTTCTTGCCTCTTTCATATGCTTCATTTACATTTGTTTCAAACAATCGTCATAGTTCAACACTTTGGGTTAGTTATCCGTTATCTGAATTCTTTTAATCTGGACTTCATGTGCTTCTAAATTTGTTCAAAGTCATATCATCAACACTTACAATCAGAAATTTTAGTTGACCTAAAATTTCTGATTGTAAGTGTTGATGGCGCCATTGAATCTCTGTTCAACTGACATTTGATTCAACAATGTCAGCTCAAACGAAATATCATAATAATCAAACACAGAAACAACTGATTTTGTTGGTAAGTCATTCCTACTTCAATTCGACCTACTTCCAATCCCTTCCACACAAAATACAAGAAACTAAAATATGTAATAAAATCGAATACAGCCAAATTAATCCGTTCTCAATGCATCCACGTCACATAAGTTCAATTTATGCAGTCAGAAATCGAAGTCTTGATCGGACCCCAGTTGATATCGCCCAAGGTTAACTATCGATTTAGTCGCGTAGTAGCCGCGGTTTGACCTCAATTTTAGTTTGAGGAGTTGCGTGTGCCAAGAAGAGTGTCACGGTTATGAGAAAAACATAGTACGTGGTGTATTTTAAGTTTAACTAGTGATGGAACGAGTCTGTGCTTGTATGCAATACTGTCGCTGACCAGGACAAGCTTGACAATTGAAGATAGAATGGTCCTAATGAATCGAAGAGGCGATGTGCTACTGGCCGATTACGACGGTGATCTTGAGACAACGCATGACTTGACTGTTTTTTTCATTCATGGACTGGTTAGGGCTAGACTATGCAATTGGTGATGGTAATCGCACCAAAGAACTGTATTCGCTCGAAATTACGCGAAAATACTCACATTGTAATAACTTTTCAAACAATTCATTGACTGTGGAACGGCCACGCAAAAGCTTCGGCTGTTGCACGAATGGACAGGTCCGTCCGGGTAAGTACCACGACCTCACATTATACTTCTGCTTTTAGTCTGGTGAGTGAGGTTGCTTGGGCCCACTTTCTTAAAAGATAGCAACGCATCTGTAAACCTACGGCTGTTGTAAATATCCATGGGCGGCGGGAATCACTTAACACCAAGTGAACCACCAGCTCGTTTGCCACCTTCTCACATGAAAAGCAGGTACGCAGGCTGATAACTCCGCTCCCATGTGAATGTGCATTTTATGAACTGCAAGGCGAAATTCAGTTCCAATCCCAACCAATTCGTGGTTAAATTTACTTGATGTTCTTCTGAATAGTATGAATCGGATTAAGATAGAGAAAATGACTATAATATGAAGTTGCATATATGTCACACGAATTAAAGAAAATATAGTAAAAATATTCTTATTACGCAAAACCTCTTAGGAAAAACATTAAAAGCAAGATCTTCGTGGCCAGACTTGAAATAACGCAGGATACTTCCTTATTAGAAAGCCAGTTCACAATTTTAAAACAATATATTTTCAATAGCGGTCTACGTTCACTTTCACTCCGTCTCAGGTAATACGAATTAGATCATACCTTCCGCAAGAGCAATATATATCTCCCTCTCTCGCTCTATCACTCCAGGCGAAATATACTGAGCTATCACTTTCATTACAGTTGATTTAGGAGCTTTTGTATACGGGAAATTTATTTAGTGTAGATATAACAAAGTATCACTTACAAATTTGTCGATTCAAAAATCTGTAAGTAGAGGCGTGAAAAACAATGCAGCAAGGTGAAATTACCTGAAATGGAAAAAGAAAAAAATATATAAGTACATAACAGATGACTATTTGGATTAAGTATTCGACAATTCGACAACATTTTAATGCCTTCTCTAAAAAAAACAAATCGATAAATCTATTTTAGGTAACTCTTATATTTCAGTACAGTCTACACCTATAGTTAATAAGTTTATTAATGTAATTTTCATGATTTTTAATTTTCATACTGTATTTGCGAAAACTGTAATAAAAACACCCTGATATTGAAGATCGGGTATTACTAACAGCTTGGGATTCATTAATAATTCATAAAATTAAATCCAAGCGCCAATAGTGTTAGACTACAAGATACTGTAAATTGCTACTGCGTAATCGGTAGCATTTATCATCATCAGCCGGAAGACGTCCACTGTTGTAACAAAGACCTCCAACTTAGAACGTCACTACGAACGCTACTTTGCCATTTGCATCCACCGGTTGCCCGCGACTCTTATGATGTCGTCGGTCCACCAAGTGGGAGGGTTCCACGCTACGTTTTCCGGTTCCTGGTCGCCATTAGAGTTTTAGGGTTCCGTAAAACGGGACCGTATTACTAAGACTCCGCTGTCTGTCTGTCTGTCCGTCTATCACCAAGCTCTATCTAATGAAACATAATTAGTTCGACAATTGAATGTTTCACAGATGATGTATTTCTATTGCCGCTATAACAACAAATACTAAAAAAGAATAAAAATTATTTAAATCGGCCTCCCATACTGCAGATATGATTTTTTGTCGTTTTTATAGATAATGGTACTGAACACTTCATGCGCGTGTCTGACTTGCGCTTGGCCAGTTTTTTATTTACAATTAAAATCTGATTTTACATGAGCGTACTAATTCACAATGAGACACATTTAAAAAAAGGAACAACCTATACATGTCCCACTGCTAGGCAAAGGCCTCCTCTGTAGAGAGAGTATTAGGGCATAGTCCATAAGGAGGCCCCACTGCAGATTGGCGGACATCACATATCTTCGAAATATATTTTTTGTTGTTATTTCGAAAATACGCAGGTTTCCTCACGATGTTTTCGTTCACCGCTGAGCACGTAATAAAACTGCACTTAAAATTAACAATTTCATTGGTGCCGCCACCGGGGTTCGAACTCAGGTAGCTCGAGTATATTAAATACAAGGCGAACGCCAGAACACTGAGCTATCACGGCTACACATAGACACTTTATACTTTAAGATAACAGTGTTGTGCCTTTTTAATGTTTTTACCTTCATCAACTGTCGTAACTAATTCCATTTCAAAATTTTCCAGACGGACCGGACGCCGACGCAGACTGTCAGCTGTGGCGGCGACGAGGCCTAATATGCGGCCATCGCACTCACCAACGGCCGGCGACGAGTCAGCGATGCGCAAGACCAAACCCCCGGACATTAGCGAGCGTACCATCGAGTGATAGCAAACTAGTCTCCTAAAACCAAAGCCTTGATAGAACTATAAGATTGTCGAAGCAAAGCGTCGCTAAGGCAAATATAACGCACAGGAGCTAAAACTCTCCCGCGGGCCGCTAGAGGCGAAGCTTGGTCTTGGTCTAGCTAGACTGTGCTAATTATAAAATCTAGAGCTGTATAGCTGACGGCCCTTAGCAGAAACAAAGGTCGAGAGCGTTCGTGCGGTCAACATGGGTCTCCAGGTGCTCCTAGCGTCAACCGCGCTGAAAACTGTCAGCGTGACCGGCCTATGGGTAATACCGCTGCTGCTCGGTGCTCTGACCTACCACAACTACAACTCGTACGACCCCGAGGCGAAGGTGCTGGACAAGGAGCCGAGGAGAGAATACGACTTCATAGTGATAGGAGGCGGCTCGGCCGGCGCAGTGGTGTCTAACCGGCTCACCGAAGTGAAAGACTGGAACCTCCTTTTGTTGGAGAGTGGTAAGTGTAGATGGCATGCAACTCTTTTGTTATATAACTAGTTTTCACCCACGTGCGAGATATTTTGGAAATTAATGATCTCTTTGCAGGATGAGAAGTCTTCGGTAAGACAGCATTTGGGCAGACTCTATTCCCTACTCTTTCTGTGTTAAAGCGTGAAGTCATAATAACATTAGTTTCATTAAAATAAGAAAAATAATAAGATGATAAAACTGATTTGTGTTAGCCTTGCTCTGACCGTGCATCACTGAATAGAGGTGAACAAAGATTCTGTTCCTAGAAAAATTGCTTTTGAAATCGGTAGATATCATATACTAAACTACACCGTAATATGTTCAAATATAATTGGTGACAAAAATGTGTCATAAAAAAATAAAATAAGACTGCTTCCGGTTTTGCAATTATGGGAACTTGTTAATCACTACAACGAATTATACATAATAATTTTTAAAAACCTTCATATTTTCGAAATAATTAAAAAAACAATATTTCGAATATATTTGAAGTCCACCACTCCACGGGGCTGCGTGGTGGATCCAATACACACTTTACAGAGGCGTCCTTTACCTAGCATATATAGGCTGGTAATTAATTTTATTAAATAGATAGTTATCAATAATGAGAAACGCCAATTATCGTTTCCAGGGCCAGACGAGAACGAGATCACCGACGTCCCTTCGTTAGCGGGCTACCTACAGCTAACGAAGCTCGACTGGCAGTACAAGACGGAGCCAACGCCGTACGCATGCCTGGGATTCAAGAAAAGAAGATGTAGCTGGCCGCGGGGGAAGGTGCAGTGAATACGTACATTTTAAGCAGTTAGAAAAGTTTTATAGTCTTCCGTAGAGATTGATACTGTGGGAAAAGAAAAGAAGAAATACCGTTGTATAGACATACACATACAGGGAGGCTTTTTTAAGTGTATCCATTTTTTTTTATTAAATCCTAAACGTAAATATTGTTATATAAAAAAATTATAAATATTTAAAATCACTCATAATTAATTAAATACATTCATCTGAACTGACCTAAAAAAGTGCGTGATTTATGGGCAACTCATTTATTTTACGCGCGTTCATTCATAACTAACACGCACACAAGTTCGTTTCAAAAGTATACGACGCATTTATGAATGACTACCGCATTGTCAACAAGTTCAGTTTTATAAGGAATCGAATGGCAATTATTTCAAGAAAAGTTATTTTATCAAGTTTATTTTTATTTCAATAAACGGTTATACTACTGAGTATGAACCTCATGTGTGAATTTGGGCACCTTTAGAAAAGCCACCCTGTATAGAGAAATATTTTATTATCCTTTGCTACTTAATACCAAGTACGCTGATTTACTTAAGGTTCTTGTATTCAAGATTCTGTTGAACAAAGAAATAGTCAACCTTACACTTACCACTACAAAAGTAAATGTGAAAAGTAATATATAAAAAGCAAATAAATATGTTCATAATTCAGCCAAAATTATATTATGCTGGACAAAAAATTTTTGGAAGTGTCGGTGGAAAGCATCTTCAAAAGATGCCCAGTTTTCGCGGGTACAAAGGCAACCTATAGGGTATTTGTAGGGACTCCTCCGCATTGTCTGAGCTCATTCAGTAGGAAGAGAAAACATCTCCCTCAATATCTACCTTCTCCTTTGGCGATACGGAGACACTCTGTGTTGCCCTCCTCCCTAAGCCAAGACGGTGTGCATGTGCATCGCACATGAGCACGCTCCTTGTAAGGATAAATATATACAGTTCTCTCAGCGGCGACGCTCAAGAGGTTTCCAAATCGCATTGGTATTCTTAGCAGGTCCATTAACTGGACGTCCAGAAACCCAGTACCGCGCCTTTCCTGTATTTAGTACGGGCAGCGATACCTAAGCTCTTTCATAGGAAAGAACCGCCCGAACTACACGAAATAAAGCTAAAGAGATACTTAATTTCGTGGTGAAATAACATTTATTGTGTGTGTATTTATTTAGGACACATTTTTCTACACAACATTATCTAGTCCCCAACTAAGCAACGCTATGGGTACTAGAAAACTGATAGACATACTTAAACATACTTTTCTTTTGTAAATAAATACACATTATACATATATAAACACCCAGACACTAGAAAAACACTATGCTCATCACACAATATTTTTCTAGTAGTGGGGATCGAACCCACACCCTCTGGCGCAGAAGGCAGGTACACTACCGACTACGCCATTCGGGCCGTATTAAACAAAATATAGTTGAAAATTGATGCTTAGTGGATCGCTTCAAAAAATTATCGCAGGTGTGATTAAATAATCATCCCTTTCCAAATAAAATTTCAATAATAATTATTGTTCAACTTGAATTATTTTGCTCAATTTTAACACATTTTCCAACTAATTGTAAAAACGTATCATTTGAAAGCAGCTGGCCTGTTGCAACTCCGTACCGGAAGGAATATAGTCAATGCTTATGATTTTAGAATGCTTTTTATATAATGTATATGATTACATAATACCAATGATAAATAATTGTTTGTTTACTTAAGCAATAAAACATAGTAATTGTATTCATCTCACTTTTCAGGTACTTGGTGGCTCCAGCGTTCTAAACTACATGATTTACGTGAGAGGCAATCGATACGATTTCGACCAGTGGGAATCATTCGGCAACCCCGGATGGGGGTATCGTGATGTACTCAAATACTTCATCAAGTCTGAAGACAACAGGAACCCTTACCTAGCGAAAAGCGAATATCACGGGAGGGGCGGCTACCTTACTGTTCAAGAAGCGCCTTGGAGGACGCCCTTGGTGGCAGCCTTCGTCGAAGCGGGGGTTGAAATTGGTTACGAGAATAGGGACATAAATGGAGCTGTACAGACCGGTTTCATGATAGCTCAAGGAACTATCAGACGAGGCTCACGTTGTAGTACAGCTAAGGCTTTCTTGAGGCCAGTGCGAACGCGACGTAACCTGGACATATCTCTTAACTCTCAGGTCACCAAGATTTTAATCAACCCCGTCACCATGAAGGCATACGGAGTCGAATTCGTTAAACACGGTATGAAAAGAGTGGTCTTCGCAAGGAAAGAAGTCATACTGTCCGCTGGTGCCATCAACAGTCCCCAATTACTGATGCTATCAGGAATAGGTCCTAAAGACCATTTGAGGGACGTTGGAATCAAGGTCTTGAAGGATTTACCGGTCGGTGAGAATTTGCAGGATCACGTGGGTGTCGGAGGACTGACGTTTTTGGTCGATAAGCCTGTAGCCATTGTCCAAAATCGCTTCCAAGCCTTTCCAGTTACTATGAACTACGTAGTTAATGAGAGAGGCCCAATGACCGTATTGGGCGGATTGGAAGGCATTGCGTTCGTGAATACAAAATATGCAAACAGTTCGGGACTGTGGCCCGACATACAGTTTCACATGGCACCGGCATCTTTCTCGTCGGATAACGGCCAAATAGTGAGAAAGATTCTAGGTCTGACGGACGAACTATATGACTCCGTTTATAGACCCATCGCAAACAAAGACGCTTGGACGATAATGCCACTATTACTCAGGCCTAATACTAGGGGATATGTGAAACTAAGAAGCTCTAATCCTTTCGATTACCCGGTCATGAATCCCCGATATCACGAGGACAGGTTAGACGTTAACCGCCTAGTGGAGGGGATCAAGATCGCATTGAAAGTGGCGAACGCGTCACCGTTCAAGCAGTTCGGCTCGAGGCTGTACATGAAGCCTTTGCCCAACTGCAAACAGTTCCAATTCATGTCCGACGAGTACATCGAGTGCCAGGTGAGGACTATATCGATGACGATCTACCACCAGTGCGGCACGGCGAAAATGGGACCCTCGTGGGACCAGAAGGCCGTCGTCGATCAGCGGCTCCGTGTCTACGGCGTCCAGGGCCTCAGGGTCATAGACGCGAGCGTTATGCCCACCATAGTGAGTGGTAACACGAACGCTGCAGTGATAATGATCGGTGAAAAGGGCGCAGATATGATCAAACAAGACTGGTTGAATCGAAAGCGGTGACGAAAGTGAATGCGTCCGGGCAAAAGTGCGAACTGATCTTAGATGATATCATGTATATATGTATAATATGTTTTGCTTAAGGCGTTTGCCCAAATCGAGTTCTCAGGACTGTGTGGATCAATTAAACAATTAAACCACATCACCGGGGCTTGGTCAATGTTCAACTAGTGCCGTCCTATCGTAAAAACCAAAAATGTTTTAAGTAAGTTCTTACGAAATCTAAAACTATTAAAAGACGTAGAGTAGCAATTTCTCTATCCTCTCTATCATTTAATAGTTTTTGATGATGTATGTATGAGTGTTCCCTACGGACTCCAAAACTGCTGGACCGATTTCGGAGCCAGTAAGTGAAAATTTATAACAGTCCTAAGGAGCCGAAACTCTTAGTAGCGGACTCGCAGCTGTTTTGCCCTGGTAGCGCTAATTATTCAAATGAAAACCGAATTTATTCGATCGCTACCACACTTCGCAGCACCTGCTGGGCCAATACAAATTTGGCCTGAAAATCTTTTCAAAATCGGCTCAGCCGTTTTGGAGTTCACAGGGAGTATACATACAGACATAGTTTTTTTATATTTTATAAATAAGTAGCTTCGTTTAGTCGTAAATAAAGATGTCGATAAGTTACATAGTTCCGATTATCGCTTTTTGTTATGTTTTTTATATCTACTCGTATTACTCTTGACGTTTGTTAATAACTGTCTATTGTTTAAACGATTTACTTACATAAATAAGCTCATACTCTGTAAAATGATATATAGAGATGACTTTACAGCATACAAATTCTCGTGTTGCAATAGTTTTAAATTTAAACGGTCATATTAATGTAAAAATATGATTCTTATCGACACAACATTTACTGCTAATTATTGTTTGACCAAATAGAAGATGGTGAAATTGATTTTAGATATTGTTAAATTAATAGCTTTCTATAAAAGCAAATCAAAAACTTGTTATTTTTGTTTTAACAATATTATATTATATTTATAGTCATGAACATTTTTTCGGTTACTGTATACCGGTTTTTCAATATTTAATAGAAAGAGATTTCGTAACCATGATGAAAATCAGAATCCAGGTACCAAAAAAAAATCAGGGATCAAATGGATCCCAATGAATTTTAGTCTAACTAACTTTAAAGCCCGCAATAGTCTGGAGAACATCAAAGGTTCTGAACCTTTGATGTTCTCCAGAAATCGATATAACTTGACACCTCCGCGTTGGCGTATGTGAAGATTCCTATCCGAAACAACTTCAAATGTCTCGGAAAAACTTATTCAGAGAACCGTTCGTACGAACCCATGAAAACTGCCGTTGTCGTATTTTGGAGTAAATTTACAGGAATTCACTAATAACTCAAAATTAAATCACCGTCATTTGAAAAACACGTTACTCTTAATATTTCTGAGACAAAATTTTACATATTGAAATTTTTTACAAAAAAATGTAAATAGGGAAACAACATCATGTGCCATATTTTTTTTACATTAATCTTCGTGTATTTTTTTAAAGCTTAAATTATTTTGCACATCTTGCTATCAATTGCACTCACGAAAATTCAATTAAATCACAGTGCACTCACGAAAACACAGTGAATTGGAAATATTCCAAATGGAATATTCCAAACATCAATTCATAAAAGACGTATTCTTTTAAAAAAACTTATTATCCATGTCGGTCGGTCATTTACATGTATGTGTTTTACTAATGTTACCGATAAATATGGTTCAGGGTCAAAAATATTTTACATACTGTATTAGTACTGTAATAAAACACATACTGTATTTTGTATTAGTATTAATATTACAAGGTTAGAGTGATCATATAAAGCCGTATAATTAAAAATTTAATCTATTTCATGGCTATTTAATTGGAGGCGGAAAAATAATTTTTAGCATGGAGCACTCCTTTTTATATACGATTATATATCTTAATATGTTAGGACTGAAATGTTATTAGTTTTTGTAGCCTAGTTAATTAAACGATTAAATAAAATTAAAAACCTATGAATTGTTACATCGGTTAAATATTCTGTAAATAAAGATGATAAATCAATAAATATGTTACCAACTGTTTGGAGATATTATAGTTTGAAAAAGGTGTTTTTTTTTATTCTTACCCTATTTGACGTTAATTTCATATATGAAGGATATTAAATATAACATATTATGCTATATCTCAAAAGGTGTTTTTGTCGGTACGTCATAATTTCCATAATTCTTTATCAAATTTAATGCTAAAAGCTTATGTTCGCCGCTAATGCCGAAAATGAAAAAGGAGAATTACATGTTTCGTTTTCAAAAAAAAAATAGTTTTAATAAAAAAACTAGTTTCAAAATTTTTCAAAAAGAATGTATGATAATGCCATCTATTGACAATTTATTTAAATGTAAATATAATGCCTTCTAACTTTTCATTGTTAAATACTGATTTAGACACATATACTTACCATCTATTTAATATGTATTATTAATTGTATATTCAGTTTACTATAAGGTTACAGAACAATAAGTTAATTAAGCACAATAAGTTAACAGGGATTACTCTCCTACGCGACTCAAAGGATGGTAATGTGTTTATCAGCCTATGTCTGTATGTTTGTTCCTTTCTGTCATTAGGGACAAAACCCATGGGCTGATTTTAATAATTCTTATATTTGTAAAATTGTCATAATGACAAGAAAGTAATCAAAATTTAAAATGGTGGCAATCAAACGCCACATCGTAAAAAGTTTATAAGACCGTATATAAAAAATCATTTAAGAAAAGAAATTGTCCTCTTCAAAATTGTTTTATATTAGGCAGTTGGGTGTTTTGATTCTATTTTCACTCTATTTTTTGTCTAAAGTTGGATACATCTTAGACTAGTACTAGTACACAAGTATTTGAAACCACGAAAGAGATTTCGCTGATGAATGAATAGGCTGTCCGGGTGAGTTCCAAGATCTCACAGTAGAACGGCTTGAAGTGAAGCTGTTATACTTCTGCTTTTCGTCTGGCGAATGAGGTAGCCATGGCTCATGGTGTGTTTTAAATGTCCATGGGCGACGTTATCACGTGACATAAGGTGAGTAACTAAGACTTTGCTGCCTGTCTGTCTTTTTGCGATTAGAAGGGTTAGGCAGCTAACTGACATCGACACTGCCAGACTTGTTTACTTCAGTTATTTTCACAGCATCTTGTCATACGGCATTTTGTTGTGGGGTAGTGCATCAGATAAAAATTCTATATTTATTCTTCAAAAAAGAGCTGTCCGAGCAATCTACAATATCGGAGCCCGGAATTCACTCAGAGATCTTTTTAAAGAGGTTAATATACTCACTGTTGCTTGTCAATACATTTATTGTAATATTTAGTATATACGTCATAACCTTCATTATTACCTAAAGAATAGTGACAGACATAAAATAAACACTAGCAATAAGGACAAACTTGCTACGCCATTGTTTCGTCTACAAAAAGTAAATAAGTCGTTCATGGGGGCAAAGTGTGTATAATAAAATTCCACAGTCGATATTAAGTCTGCCGCTTGACCAATTTAAACGTAAAATTAAAAGTCAACTTATGGTTAAAGCATATTATACCATTACGGAATATCTCGACGCCGCCAATGTGTGGCGTTGTATATTGTTGTTGAATACTGTTTGATACTCACCTAGCCTAGAATATAACATACAGGTATAATAGTATACCTGTATGTTATATTGTAAATTGATACTTTTGAAAAAGAGCAACTGTTGAGTAGTGGTAAACCCTTAAAACCCCGAGTTCAACTCGCACTTAGGCGGTTATTTTTTTTTTTAATTTATTAATTTGGGGCGCATAATTTGGTTCATGCAGAAATTAATTTTTGACCAAAGGGTCGTTGAAATCAAGTCAACGGCCCTTTGGAATTTTAAAAATAACGAAAGTAAAATGAAAACTTGTTCCTCATACCGCTAAGGATCTTTGACCGAAACCAGTCAAGAGGTCATTGGCCTGGTATTCATATAAAAATGAACGGAATTTGCATTAAATTATTATTCAATTGTTCTTAGATTACGATAGACGAAAAAAAGAATATTTCAGTTGTTGAAGCTACCGGAAGGCGTAACTGTCCTTGCATTTTGTGAGGACATAATCACCCGGAAGATGACCGCGGGGCGAGAAAGGGAGGCAACCGCCACCCTGGAAATCCGCCGCCGGTGACCAGGGCGCAGGAAGACGGCCTACGCGTGCAACCTTCACCCCTGATAGCGAACCCTGGGCCGACAGATGTGGGATTAACTGCTGCCCCGAGTGATCAAAAGGAGTCGTGTCCATTGCACCGATACGGTAGCATATAGCTGGGCTGGGCGTCCCTACACACGGATTGAGGAGGCCTGTCCCACACCCCTGCTACCCACAGGGAGACAGGGGACCCAAATAAAAAAAAATCCTTTATTTTTCTCACGAGAAAAAAAAAAGGGTCAACTGATACAACATAAGGACCTTCCTATAAGGGAGCCTATTTCTACCTCAAAGGTCAAAGGACTTGAGAGGAACAAGTTCGGCCACGTATCCGTGAGTCAGGTGTTGCAAGTGTCCATAGGCGGCCGTATTCTAATCAGATGACCGGCTTGATCGTATGTTTTATTTTCCATAAAAGGGATACTTATTGTTCAACTACGGTCTGGCTGTGTATCTAACCCAACCAATCTTGGGACTAATACCAATGGAATCAAGACCAATTTTGGACTTTTTTGCTTTAAATGTAGGAAAAGATTATCTGGGAAGAAGATATGGGATCTGGTGGTAGTATTTGACTATCAAAGGACAGAACGATAGTAATTTGAATAACAGGGGACAGACCGTGGCCATGAACACTGTGAAGTGTTCGAAACGTCGTCGGGAATTTAAAATCAAAATAAGGCCCGATAAAATCCGCAAAATAGTAACATTTAACCATAAATACAACTTGCCCAAGGTTTAGGTGACAAATAATTGTGACATAATATAGTAAAAGAGCACACTTTACTG